ATACACATGGAGTAAATCTTGAAAAAGGTATTGGCGTCTAACTTTTAAATACTTGACATGAAACATATTCAAAATGATATGCCCTCCTGTATGGATGAAATCATGAAAACAATCGAAAACGGTATATTGTCTTCGGAGACGATTTTCGATCAGTCGATGACCATGTTACCAATTAAACTATTCAATGTCGACAACAATATGACGCTGAAAAATTAGAAAAAAGACGAACACAAATGACACTAATACAGAAATAGCATCGGTCAGGAATTTTCATGACCGTCGTGACCAGAGCGAGCGGTGCGGGTGCCTACACATTTAAGGATCCTGTATGGTACATACATACATACATACATACATACATACATACATACATACATACATACATACATACATACATACATACATATATATATATATATATATATATATATATATATATATATATATATATATATATATATATATATTGTTCAGGCCTAATATATAGTAGGGAAAAAAAGAGTTCTGCTTGATTTAAGATCCATGATGCTGTTGAGCTAAATATTCGGCCTCAAATCTCCATCTTCTGTGGCATGATGTAAAGGCAAAATGTCGGTACACTGCAGCAAGTAGCTTCATTTGGCCAGCTGAAGCCACAGAGATGCAAACAAAGTACAGAGCCACACTTTGGCAACCTCTGCTGTGTCCTGCCTGAGCCCGTGATACGGTGATAGGGCTGAAAGAGAACACAAGCGAGTCTTTGCCATTTTTTCCCCATGCTGCAACAGGAGAGTTTGATCATTTGGATGTCATCGCCAAGGGAGAAAACTCCAGCCGTTTCGGCCCAGAATGAGAGAGAGAGAGAGAGAGAGAGAGGATCATTCAGCTAGCTAGTAAGCAGGTGTGCATGTAGCTCTAGAGCTAGCAGTGTACTGCTGATTCTGTTCCTCCTGCCCCTTCTGTGCTTTATGTGTTCACCGAATCAGGTTTTTCAGCAGCATTGTGCACATTTTATTCATGGATCTATGTTGTGTAAGTGGATTTCTGGAAATTTCGTTCAGCACTCTTTTTTTCATAGAAAGTTTGCTTGAAAATTTAAAAGAATTAATCTAAAAAGAACAGGGCAAATTAATTAGCTGGTTAAGGGCAACTCACATTGCTTATTCTCTTTTTAATATAAAATTAAGAATGGGCGAGCTCGTTGAGTCCTTACAAAAATGTTGTGTTTATCACGTAGTATGGAAAACATGTCTTCACATGTTTATACAAGTCCTGCTAGGAACGTGAGAATTTCCAAATAGAGCGTCAGAAAATCTGTACACTTGCTGATGAGATATGTGCGAATATACTAGTATCAAATTGCATGGTGAAACTTATGACATCAAATCAGCCCAAATGAATTCAACGCTAATGAGGCTACTTGACACTATACTGAATTAAGCTATGACCAAGTAGTAGGAGCACTACAACTAGCTCAAACCAGACCAACATATAGTGTACTTATGGTCAACGGTGTTAATGATGAAGCAACTCTATCTGAGCTTCATTGAAACTTGGCACAAAGCCAGCAGTCAAATCGTTTTTTTGGCACAAAAGATACTTTAGCATACAATTACGTTTACTCAAACTAAGTTTGTCATGTATGTGTTCCCAGCTTTTCTTAAACCGAGAAAACTCAAACGTCACATCAAGTGAACCAGGACCACGGCCAATATGATCGTAATTAATCTCGATCGGTAAATTTGGCTTAAAAAACCCCACGTACTGGTTCTTAGTAAAAACATATTCGCGTACACATGGTCACTTGCTTGTATTTACGTTCTCGTTTTGTTTAAAAAAGAACTGACCTTAAATTAAGTTAATGTTGGTTTATACATTTGTATCAATACATCTATGTAGATTTTGAGGCGAAGATGATGGTAATAATTGAACCAGCCATAACAATTATAAAGTTAGAAAATGTAAAAGCAAGATGCACTTGATAGTGTAGTGGCAATGATGTATCGTACCTCGAGGTCTTGTGTTTAATTCCATGCTCACAATTTCTTTTTTGAAAATATTTGGAGGGACATCTCTCCCCCCAAATCTCTTTCTTTTCTTGAAAAGGAAAAAGCATTTTCTATTTAGTTTAAATATCTAAATACATGTTATTTTAGACTGTAATTTTGAACTTTACTGTTGACTTTTAAGAATTTTTGGTGGATTTTAGCTTGTTAATAAAAGTGACTAGGCATAGCTTATTAACTGGTTAGGAATCTTTTACTGAAAACAGTGATACAGGTGTTCACATTTACGGCTAATTGTTCTTTCAATAGTAGGAGACATAACTGTCGATAAGCAAGGCGTCTGTGATGTCACCCTAGTCTTTCAAATATACTCAAAAGGGTATGGTGTACGTATGTGCGTTCATAGGGGGTGAGTATGCGTGTCATATGTGCGTTTACATGGGTGACTAAGAAAATCCCATGTAAATTCAAATTCCAAAATTAATAAAAACATTGTTTTGGATTATAAATCCAAAGCACAACTCTAATTATCTTTAACATTGAGTACATCATTTTAATTACATTGTGTTACTTTATCTACCCATAAACCAAAACCCTAACATCAAAATCGTTATCCTGGTAGACAAACCAAAACCTAAAATCCTTTATATTTATGGAAATAGATAGTACTAGTAATTTCAATTGGAATTTACTCTGTTGCGGGACTAACATGTGAGTCAACAATATAACCATAATTCAACAATATAAACTGATCAATTCTTACCAACTGGTTTAGCTGAAGCAGAGAATTTAGTTAGAGTCAACAAAACAACCACTCAGTCCACATAAGCACAGTTCAAAAGAGAGATATATATTATAATCATGAGAAAAACCACACAAAAACCCAAACGGTGTGTAAACCAAAGCGTGTGGCCGTAGCAGCAGGGGCATGTGGGAAACAGAGGAAAAAAAATGATATATGGACCCCGGCAAAGACGGGAATGGATTTATATCGAATATAAAAAGGACCAGAAATTGTCGTGCTGTCAGGAAAGATCGAAAGCAAGATGGGAGAGAAAAAAATAACAAGAGAGAGAAGCGCGAAAGCGACGCTGCCCCCCGCCCGCCGCTGCGTAGACCGCGCCCACGGTGGACCAAAACCCTGCTCAGATTCAGATCACATGCGTGCGTGCATGGCGGTCAAGGCACACGAGATGCAGATCGGTTTCTCTGATTTTATGGTGGAGTGGAGTAGTAGTTGTTTATTAGTCAGGGCAAGATTTATTTTATTTTGTAAAGGTTTTTTAGAATTTTTACACAGTGTAGTTATTTCACTTGCCATTTGGTAGTACTAAGACTCTGTATTTTTAGAAAGTTGCTGGGGGTGTATTAATTATCTGTGCAAGTAGTATTGCCGTAAAGAAGATTAGGGTAGATGCATGGTAGATGTGGTTTAACATTCAATGTTTCTTGATTTTCAGTTGATTCTTAATTGCATGATATCGAGCCGGATAAAATGATGTATAGATTACAGAGATGTATCCTGCATCACATAAACATGTGCGTCACTGTTTGTGTATTAATTTGTATACCATATGATATGGTGTGGAAACAGATCAATAGTTATAGGTGTATTATCATATATCTTAGCCCCTGTTTAGATGGGACTGAAACTTTTTAGTCCCTGTCACATCGGATGTTTGGACACTAATTATAAATATTAAACGTAGACTATTAATAAAACCCATTCTATAACCCTGGACTAATTCGCGAGACGAATCTATTGAGCCTAATTAATCTATGATTAGCCTATGTGATGCTACAGTAAACATGCACTAATTATGGATTAATTAGGCTTAAAAATTTGTCACGCGAATTAGCTCTCATTTATGTAATTAGTTTTATAAGTAGTCTATGTTTAATACTCTAAATTCATCCGATATGACAGGGACTAAAGTTTAGTCCCTAGATCCAGACACACTCTTACAGTGGCTTGTGTATTAACTTTTGGCAAAGTACTTGTGCTACTTTACCACAGTGTCAACTTTAAGTTTTCTAATGTCATTTGTCAAAACTTTTATTTAATCAGCTAAAGTTAATAGTTCAACATTAAAAAACTTCAAATCTTCCAGATAAAACAAACATAAATTATATACCCTTTGGTAAACAACCTTTTGATGCCGCGCGTCCACATTCTAGGTGTTTGACGAAATGTATTATTTTACTATACAAAATATGCATCTAGAAGTAAACAAGACGACGATCTAACTCCATGGCTGAACAAAAACTAGATTTTAGCCACTCTCGATTTGACCAAGTTGTAGCACACTGGGGATGATATTTCTAATTAAAATACAAAAATACAGATTATATCTCGGTTTTCATTAGCACACTTTTTAAAATTATACATAGTGTGTTTCGTGTAAAAACTTTCTATATAGAAGTTGCTTTAAAATATTAGATAAATCCATTATTCAAATTTGAAATAATAAAAACTAAATTAATCATATTTATTCATACTTAATCTTCATCTTCATTAAGTTCGAACGGGCCTATGTTCTTTTCAGCTTATTTACCCAATTACTACCTCCGTCAAAAAAAAAAGAATTTACAATTGGATGAGACATTTCCTAGTACTACGAATTTGGACTAGGAAATGCGTTGTTATATTTTGGGACAGACGAATACTTTTTCGTAAAAACTTTTTTCTCCCGTATTTTTTAGACAACTTGTTCATATATTTATCAAATATCTAATATATTCATGGATTGATTGTTTATTTGAAACCCCAAACAATAGTAGTATTTTATGAGGTGAATGCACAGATTAGTTAGTGAGGTGGGCTCTCACTCAGCGAAAGGAGAGGCGCGGTGGTAGCAATAATTCGATCCCCAATTTGATAGACCCAGTCCACGCACCCCACCCATCGTCTTCCTCCCTCTCCCCTCCGGCCCTCCCCCAAGAGGAGAGAGAAAGTAAAGAGAGCAGCAAAAGTTAGACCCAGCCGTAGTGGTTGGTGCAGGTCACTAAGAGAGAGAAAAAAAAGATAGAGATAGAGAGAGAAAGAGAGAAGCAGCAGCAAGCAAGGCAAGAAGAAGAGAGAGAAAGAGTGATAGAGGAGAGAGAGACGCAATCGCTAGCGATAGGAATTAAACAAACAAAAGCGGCCTTGGAAAAAAGAGGAAGGAAGAAAGAAGGAGAGAGAAAGGAGGCAACTTGGCCAAGAGGGGGGAGTAGTAGAGAGGAGGAGGAGGAGAAGCCAAGAAGCGGACGGCACCAGCCATGCCGCGGTCGCCGTCGCCGCCGCCTGACAGGCACCACCACCACCACCACCCGGCGCGCCGGAGGGGGCCCGCCGGGGCGGCGGCGCCGCCGCCGCGGTCGCTGCGGCCGAGGAGGGCGGCGGCGCCGTCGTCGAGGCCGCTGGTGGACGACTTCTTCCCGTTCCCTTCCTCGCCGTCGTCGTCGCCGTCGAGGCCGCCGCCGCCGCAGCAGCAGCAGCAGCGGAGGCCGTCGCCGGAGCCGTCGAGCTCCGACTCGGACGGCCATGGCGGCGGCGGCGGGGGTGGGGGTGGGGGCTCCTCGGCCTCTGACCGACGGCGGCGGAAGCTCAAGCTCGTCGTGAAGCTCTCACAGCTCGCCCCCGACCAGAACCACCACCGGCGGGGCCCGCCTCCCCCCTCGTACTCGGACTCCTCCGGCGGCGAGCAGGAGCAGGAGGAGGAGGAGGAGGCCGGCGGCAACGGCGGCGACGACGTCAGCGGCGGCGAGGAGCGGGTCAAGCCGCCCAAGAAGCGCCGGATCGAGCCGCGCGGCGACAGATCTCGCCATCGGGAGGTGCGGGGAGAGACCGCCAACCCCAAGCTGGTCCCTTAGCTTCGCTGTCAAGCTTCTCTCTAACGCGAGATCTACTCTTCTCTTCTCTTCTCTTCTCGTCCCTTTCAGGTTGGTGGGAGGAGCGACGCCGCCAGCGCGCCGAGGACGAAGCGCCTCCCGGTGCCAGGTTCGATTTGCTCGCTCGCTCGTTCTCCTGCTGATCTCGCCGTGTTCGATGATGGGATTATGAATTTACCACTGCCTTTTTGTTGAGAAAAAATTTTTGACTTTTTTTTTTTGCGCTGATGGGTTTAGGGATGGCGAGGACGACGCCGCTGCCTGACCGGAAGGCGCTGGACATGATTCTCGACAAGCTGCAGAAGTGAGCTTTGCTTCTTGTTTTTTTTTTTTTGAAGCTTGGTTTACACTGCGAAATGGGATTCGTTTCATGGCTTAATGGGCTCGATTTCTGCTTGATTCTTCTGCAGGAAGGATACTTACGGAGTGTTCGCGGAGCCCGTCGATCCGGAGGAGGTGAGGCCGTTTGTTCGATCGTCATGCTTTGTTGGAGTTGCCAATTTATTTGAGGGGGAGTTATTGAGTGCTGATGATGCCATCCATGGTTGCTCTCATTGATGCAGTTGCCTGACTACCATGATGTGATTGAGCACCCAATGGACTTTGGCACCGTCAGGAGGAAGCTTGCCAGGAATGCATATCGCTCGTTCGAGCAATTTGAGGTCATACTTCCATCTTTTGTCCTATCTTTAGCTCGTTAAGTAGAGTTCGAGTTGCCGTTTTTGTTGTATCTTGAGCTGGTTAAGTACAATTCGAGCCGCCAATGGAGCATCGTCATTTGCTGGGTGTTGCTTTAAAGGATGTTACTATGCTAGCAAATGACACTGTAGATGGGAAGAAATGGCATTTCAGTTCGTGCTATATTTGTCTAGGTGAATTTCTCCTATATGTCCAAAACAGGAAAGTAGGAAACAGCAGTTGGTATGCTTTTCCGTTACGTTAGAAGCTTAGATAACGGATTTTATGCTGCAGCTTGACAAGTCCATTGGCATAGCATGGGCTAACCAACTCATCGCATGTTTACAGTTACAGCCCAACAGATGCAATGGCATAGCATTATATCAAATTAATCACAGGTTTACAATTACATCTGTAGATTTCGTCTTTCTACTGGTACTAGACAAATGACTAGCGGGTATCCTCAATTAGCCTTGTCTATAACAACTGTTTCATTATGAACTTTGGGGTTTTTGTACTAATTCATGCACACTATTAACTGTCTGTTTGTACTAGTTAGTATGCTGCTGCTTTTAAATGTCTGTACTAAGTGATTATACTATTTCAAATTGAGCATAGACATGACAGATTTCCCCCCATACTTTTCATTTCAAATTATTTGGTTTGGTTGTAAGATTTTGTCATGTTTGCCCTGATAACCTTGCACTGTACCAATATTATTGTAGTTAGTGATTCCAAGCCATATCAGCAAGTGTGTGGCCATTATTGTCTGCTAGTGTGAAAGAGTTCGGGCTAGGCACTACTTGTATAGTGTCAGGATGGCATCATATCGTCTAAGACTATGAAGGGTTTATCATGGAGGTTTAAAAGAATCTGAGTTAGCTTAGTGCATTTCATGAAGATCGAAGAAGGTGCAAGGGTAGCTTCATAGCTTGACCATCATCATATTCAGATATACAACCTTATGTTGACTGTAGACTGAACCAAACTGGCCTGACCTATTAGCTTGAAATTCTAGAAGTTAAGTTTTTTTTTGTTAGCCCGAAAAATCAAGATACTCTGCTCTCTTGAGCCGGAGTCAAGGCTGTAGGTTCAACAAAGTAGTGTTTGTTACTGCTGCGGTGCTGCCTGTTGTATGCGTTAGCTAATTGAGTAAACTAGCACACTTCATTGTTGGTTAATTTCTTTGTTTCCTTTCTCCCTTTGGTAAAAACCAAGAGCTTGATGTTGTCTATCAAAATTATGAATAATACATTGCACTCGGAGAACCTAGCAATTCATATGATATGCTTCTTTGAACTGCAGGATGATGTATTCTTAATTTGCAGTAATGCGATGCAGTACAATGCACCTGATACAATCTACTTCAGACAGGTGTGCAAACAGTCTTTTTTTCTTAAAAAAATTATAATGCTCGTGATACCGTGATTTGGCAATTTGCATTGAACATTTCTTCATGCAGGCCCATTCCATACATGAATTGGCAAGAAAAAAGTTTCAGGAACTGAGAGATGAAGGCATTCCCACTGAAAACCTAATAAAGAGTGAACAGAAAATTAGACCACACCCTAGCAATAGAGAACCAATTAAGAAGCCTGTTTTGAGGTATTCAGATGATGATCTAGGCTTCATGTCCCACAAAGAGCAAGTTAGTAGACCAAATTCCAAAGACTTAGAGGATGATCGAAAGTTCAAAGATCAAGTTAAGAAGACAATTTCAAGGAATTCTGAGGATGTCTTAAGTTCCTCTTTCCAGAAAGAACGAGTTAAGAAATCCAGTGTCAGGAATTCAGACGATGATTTAAGTTCCTCCTTCCAAAAAGAACAAGTTAAGAGGCCCATTTCCAGAAACTCAGGGGATGATATAAGCTCTTCATTCCACAAGGAGCAAGGAAGGAAAGTCATCTCCAGAAATTCAGAAAATGATAGAGTTGCATCTTTCCACAAACAGCATGACAAGAGACCCACTTCCCGGAGTTCAAAAGATGAATTGCCATCGCAGAAAAAACACATAAGAAAGCCTGTTTGCACGAATGGTGAAGAACCAGATTTCTCATCACACCGAGATTCAGTAGAGAATCCAGTTTGCACAAATGGAGAACATGTAGGCGTCTTGTCCCCGAAAAGGCTAGTTGAGAAGCCCATTTGCCGAAATAGAGATGACCTAGGTCACTCCCACAAAAAAGGGTTGAATAATAAGTCTATTTGTGGAGATGGACAGGATGATATGGGTTACTCCTGCAATGGAGAGACTGTTAAGAAGCCAGTGCGTATGAATAGCCAAGATGCTTTGGGTTCAGATGTTTCTGCTGCAACCATTGCTTCTGCAGGAGATGATTCTAATGGTTTAAGCATGTCGCAGGCAAATGCTGTTGAGCCCCAAGATTGTATTGCAGCCAACGGGTTTATGGACAAAGATATCAGTTCCCCACTTGATGAAATAAGATCTGAGAAGCCAGATGATATTTCAGGTACATATGTTTGTCCCAAGAGCTGAACCACCTCTCCTGAAGTGATCCACTAGTTAAAGTTGTCACTGACATACTACGTATTCATTGGATGGTCATACCTCGCCTTTTAGAACTTCAAAAAATAAGCTAATAGAATGGATCATTTTTTTTTCTTTTTTGCGATGGTGAATGGATCAGTTAGCAACAGCATGATATGGATAAATTCCCATGGAAAGGAAACTAGTCACCCAAAAATATCTTGGTCTTCTTTTATATACATAAAGTTGATCATCACTTCTTAAATCGTACTATATGTATATGGACTTCCTGTGAACTATTTAGTCAGTGATGTTAGAAAATGCTTAGCAATTACCAAGATAATTAATTTAATCATAACCGAGTTGCATATCTTGCATTTCCATATGAAGAACTGATGGAGCTAAACATTTATTTTTGGACATGTGATACTTCTATCTACCCAACTTCTGTTGTGTAATGACATCCTTGTTCTTTCCTTCACTCTTCAGCTAGGGAAAGTTCAGTGAAGCCAAGCTACAAGTCAATTGTAGTAGATGAGACACGACGCAAAACATATGATACATATGAAGAACAGCCTTCATCGGAATCTGACACAATTTTCGACGTATTCTGTGAGGAGCCAAAAGAGCTTGTTAATGTATGATAAACTAAAGCCTGACTCTTCTATGCTTCTTGGACCAATTTGATTTTCAGGTAAGCTCATAAGTTTATATGTGCCCTGCAGGTTGGACCTCATTCTGAGCACTCATATGCAAGAAGTCTTGCTCGTTTTGCTGGCTCACTTGGTACTCAAGGCTGGAGACTTGCTTCTGAACGCATTCAACGGGTATTACCCACTGATGTAAAGTTTGGACGTGGTTGGGTTGGAGAATACGAGCCACCATTACCACCTATTCTGTTTGTGCAAAACCAACCGAGAAGTCTGGTTAGCTCAGAGGCTAATGTACAAAGGAGTGCTTCAATGACTAGGAATAATGAAAGGATCAGACCAACAGAAAGTGTCAATCCAAAGGATATGAGTTTGAGTCTACTTAATCGAATAACCACTGGTAATAATGTGGTTGGAGTTCCTGGCCCTCTTGAAAGTCCAGAAATTAAGCCAAGATTATTCGGTGTTACAGCTGAGCCCCAGCAGAGGAGCACTGAAGCACCATCTCTGCATGAAAATCATCGGGCGCCTGGAAGTGTTGCAAAGACCAAAAGGGCACCCAGTGAACAAACAAGGAAAGGGAGCTCGTCCTCCAGTTCTCGCCCTCTTCAAAAGCAACCACAGAGGCCTGAAATTTCAAAAGGAGCTTCCAATGTGCTTGATATGCCTTCTTTGAACAAAATGACTGGCCAGCCCAGACCCTTCTTCCAACCAGCAGAAGCAGCTATAACTCAGCAAATGAGAAAAAGCGAGACACCTAAAAGTTCTCATCCACTTGAAATGGCACACCAGAGGCTTGAGTGTGCAAAAGGTGCTTCTGGTGTTCATGATATGCCTTCCTTAAACAATACAAGTGGGCAGCCTAAACCCTTCTTCCAGTCGCAAGAAGCAGCTGTTCCACAACCCAGAAATGAAAATACATGGGTATACCATGGACGACCTGGTGATGGGAAGTATGGGACAACCGACAAAAGCAGACCAATGAGCAGCATGGGTTTTATCACTAAAAATCAACAAGTAAATGCGGCCAGCTTTGCAATGAATTTGAACGGGCAAAAGAATGTCAATGACAATGTAAAATCAGTGGGATCAACTGTAATGCCTGTGCAGGTAAATACAACAAACAGAGGGCCTGATTCTTCCCGGAATATTTTCTCAGCATTTCCACCAGCTGTCAGGGAGAATCAGAGCATTCCATCTGCTCCAGTGGCTCAATCTTGGATCTCATTTGGTGCTTCGTCAGAGAGCAAACCAACCATTGTCAGTCCAACTTTCCATGATAGTAATTCTGGCTGGAAGATGCCATTTGCAAATGCCCGTCCTGATGAAGCAAAGATGACTGCTGTTCCACAGTTCTTTAGGCAACCCGTTCAGATGGTTAGAGAAAGTCCAGGGCAAAACAAGGGTTTGGTAATATTCCCCCAGTTGGTCCAGACAGACTTCTCAAGATCACAGGGCCAACCACAATGGCAAGGCCTGGTTCCCCCGATGCAACAGAAACCAAACAAGGATATGCTTCGCCCAGACTTGAACATCGGGTTCCCTTCTCCTGGTTCACCACCAGCTCGACAGTCTTCGGGCATCAATTTGGAAGCACAACAGCCAGACCTTGCTTTGCAGTTGTAAGCTTGGAACGGATAATGAATACATGTGACCACAGATTGAACGGCAGACTTGAACTTGAACAATTAAAGACAAATGGAAGTTAGGCGCAAAGCGCAAACAGCAGATTGGGACATCCATTAGATGGATCGACAGCAATGGAGCGATGACGATTCATGGTAGACCATCGTACATTGTTTGTGACTCATCCTCCATGTGCAAAGATATGAGAAAATGGATGGATGAACACCTGCTTAGGATGACATCATTATATATGCTTGGGCATTTTGTTCATTACCGGAGTTCAGAATCCAGCATTTTGAGTAAATGCTGTGGTGGCATGCTTCTTGGTAGAGCATGCTCATGATCCAAAATACTTAGCGCACCCGCCTGACCACACTATAGCTTTCCACGGTGGAAATTTTTGCACCAGAACTTAGGATATATCGTTCTTTCGGTAGACTAGAAGACTACGTGGTCGCCCCTATGTAATGCCCCTTGTCACATTGTATGTTTGTTGTAAATGGTTCAGCATTGAATAGATTGTTAGACTAGATCTTCTTTTCTGAATGAAATTGCTTCCCACTTTCATATTCTGTGCCAGGAACTGTGTTACTTGATCCATTCAGTTCAAATGACATGCTGAATGCGAACTGTTAATAACCCTCTCTTGGCAAAGATTCAGTGTACTTTTATGCTATCAGAGTGAGTTTATGTGCCATTTCACACTCCCGAGTCTGAAATGAGGGTTTTGGTAGGAATTTGTGAACTGTGAGCCTTGACTGCAAATTGGATGATTTCCACTGCTGTTATGCAGTGGTATTAATATGTCGATTGTTACTTAAATTTCTGGAAAAGGTTGGCTCCATTTCATCTACCTAGATTTGAATTTGACCATCCAAAACAAAATGTGAAGGGTAATCATATGAACATTTGATGAAAAAGACAAATGGGCATGGCGAAATGGCACAATTGTAACAACCAGAGATAGCTTTTGATTTCCTGAGAAAGCTCCAAGTCTCATGATTTACTCTGAACTAATACACGAGATTAATTCTCACACGGCACATGCCCAAAATTTACGCTCTCTCTTGATGAGTAGAAATTAGAGTATTGCTTTCATACTTAAGAGTTCTTCAGGTTGAAGAAACCGAGAGTTGACAAATTGGTGCAGTCAATCCTACTTCTCTCATTTGATAGCAGCCAAGGACACGCAGGAAAGTAGCCCTTTGCTGCACCTATAAACACCATAAGTTTTCAGTACTGGAAGAGTTCAGAAAGAAAAATGCAAGCGGTAGTACACAATGCCATCTCCATTTGAGAAGGACATACATAGTTCATCCATTTTTATGCCATGGACTGGATGTCTGATACCGATGATTCTTTACTACTACTCCTCAAAATATAACAATTTCTAGAGAATAGCACACTATATAAAATGAGGTACAAAGACTAAATTATCCTCCATTACATGCATTGGGTGGTGCTAGAGGGATTACGGCAACTTCACTAAAAAAGAGCACTTTAGAACCTAGAAATTGCTATATTTTGGGATAAATTTTGAGCGCTAGAAGTTGCTATATTTTGGGATGGAGGGAGTATATAAATTGCACCATTATTCAACTATATCTAAAGATAAGAGGACATTTACCTTCAGATCATTCAAAGCATTTTGCACACGTACTTCGGCTGTTGATGCTTCAAAATCAACATAGAAAATGTAATTGAAGTGCCTGCAATTAAGAAAAACAAACTTATTAAAACTGAAAGATGGCACTGAAGGTATCAAAATAAGCACTCTTTGAGAAATAAACTGTAAACATATATATCAAATCGCTACCCTTGACAAAGGGTAGCGTTTATCATAATTTACATGTAGGGGATTTAGTGGAAAAAGTGTGATTCGCTCTATTAATAACTGAGTTTGAAATGATATACTTAAGGTGTCCTTAAGTTTTTTTTATATATTCCAGCGACAACTTTAGTTCTTAGAAAGGATTTACATATATTTCTCTCAATAGCAAATTGCTACTTGGGCATGTTCTTTGTTCATGTGACAGTTTGGGAAAATTAAGAAGCATATTCTTTTTGTGCAGTAATATAATTGTCAATATGGATATTAATTAGCCAACTATTAGGAATGCATAGCCATATATGTATAGATTATATTATATCGTTGTATTCCTTGTATTCTCCTCTGATTGAGGATCTTGTACATTGGCTATCCTATATCAATACATGGTCAACCCTATGTTTAGGTGTGAGGTGTTCTCCCCATTCCTCTCTACATGTTATCAGAGCGAGGTTTGACGAAAATATGCAGAAGAGTGTGGAAGGGTGTGAAGAATCATGTGCTGGGTCTGAAGGTCCTTAATAGAAAAACCAAACTCATCAAACTCAATGGATCTTTTATTGTCACGTGTAAATTGATGAGCAGAAAGTAAATTGCGAACCAAAGAGGGGGCAACAAGAACGTGTTTGAGGTCAAATTTAGTGGTGCCGATAGGTAGAAAGGAGGTGCCACGACAAGGAACTGGAATAGAATGACGATTGCCAATGGTAATATAAGTGTGAGAGCTAGCCAAGCGAGTAAGGAATATACCGTCGGTGGAGGACATGTGCGAGGTCGCACTAGTGTCGAGGACCCACCAATTGGGGCTGTGGACCGTCATCTGGTTGAGGGTAGCAACAAGACTGGTCTAGTCCCAAGCCAGTTGGGCTTATAGGGGCGCCGGAGGCACACAACAACGGGCGACGAGAAGTACGGCCCAGTGAAAGCGGTGTGTGCTTGGGGGGCTCGCTAGGCCGGCTGTTGTCCAGCCCAAGGAGAGAAGCACACCCACGACCCAGCTAGACGCGGAGTAGTGAAGGAGATGCCACTATTGCTGAAGCCGCTGCCGTCATTGTTCTGTTCACCAGGGTGGCCACCGTTGCCACCGCCACCATTGCGGCCGGAGGTGCTGTTGCGGTTGTTATTGCGGCCCCCGTTCTTGTGCTTGTTGCCGCCACCATTGTGGTTCTGCTGCTGTCCCCTGCCACTATCAGAAGGACATGAGCCCAAGGCACAAGCGAAGGTGGTGGCATTGGCCGCGATGAGGGCGGTCTCCGATTGGACCTTCACTTCGTTGGCGATGCGAAGTTCCTTGAGGACAAGGGTGTTCCGCGTGGAGGCGAGGGAGGGCAGCACGGGAGCGGTCGTCCATGGTGCCGGAGAAGCGAGGATTGATGCCACGCAGGAGATTGAGACTAGCTGGGACTCGGTGACAGGGTGGCCGACAATGCGGAGGGCATCAACCGTTGTCTTCATGCTTTGACAGTAGTCAGAGATGGAGTGATCGCCCTGAGTCATAGGGTGGAACTCGTGATGCAGGAAGATCGCACAAGGCTCCTTCTTGGCTTGGAAGAGGTTGTTGATGGCGATCCACAAATCCTGAGCCGTCGAGGATTTCGTCGGCGACTGAGCTGAAGAGCCAACTGTGGAGGTAGCAATCAGCTTGCTCCTAGGCATTGTTAGGGTCAGCGGGTCGAGCGGCGTCGAGATGGTCAAGGAGACCAAATTTCCCGCATATCGAACGGAAGAAAGCTTTCCACTTGTTGAAGTTGGGGCTGCGGAGTTCTAGAGAGATCGGAACATGAGTCTTGATAGCAACAGTCATGTACGGGTTGACGAACACCGGCGTCAACAAGGAATGCATAGCAATATAATCTATACATATATGGCTATAAATTCCTAATACCAACTGAATTGCTTAAATAGAAAGGTAACAAATATAGCAAAAAGTGCAATAGTCTAATCTGATGCACCTCTACAAACTGAATTGCCTAGATACAAATGAACCTTTTACTTGACATGTTGCAAGCTTGCAGAAAATTTGTGGCTGTGGTTAGTATCAAGCATAGGTGAATCAGTCAGCGCGCTGCACCCATAAATTATTGAAACAGGATGGGAAAAAAAATGCTGGTAGCACATCCACTTTTTCCCTTTTTGCTCCATAATTTGATACACATAAGCATTTTTTACATAAAGAGAACTGTGTTGAAAGTGTAATAACAGTGTAGCGTACTTTTCATTTCCTTGAGTCCTCATTGGTTCGCGCTTATTTGGTCTGCTCTCAATCTTCAGTGCAACATAATGAAAGTTAAAAATACTGAACATGTTTGTGAAGAACAAATACCGGAAGCAAAAAGGGAAAAATAAATAGTTAAAGAAGTTAGGATCTCAAGTACCTTTGACAAATTTATATCCCTCATCCAAAATGCACTCAAGGCCTTGAAAAGTATGCCAGGCCCTTCTTCAAGACCGAAAACGATGCTTGTCTGATAAATCAGGGCAACTAACTTGTAGCACCGGGCATTTGATTGGAAAATGTAATAAATCATACTCCCTTCTTCCCTAAATGTTTGACGCCATTGACTTTTTTAAACATGTTTGACCATTCGTCTTATTTAAATTTTTTTGTGAAATATATAAAACTATATGTATACATAAAAGTATATTTAACAATGAATCAAATGATAGAGAATTAATAATTACTTTTTTTTTAATAAGATGAACGGTCAAACATGTTTAAAAAGGTCAACAACGTCAAACATTTAGGGATGGAGGGAGTATTATATTGAAAATAATCAGACCTTATATTGGCCATATTCCTTGGGGATGTCAGCAGTTTTGGCCAATACCAAGTATCTTGTGAGATTGGGTGAAGCATCCTGCAACATATTTCTCCAACTGAGTATCAGATTTCTAAATGAGATTGTTAACTAAACATTAAACAAGCAAGCATCAACTGGAGTCTTGGATGATCATCATGACTTGGTGAAGAGTTTAGCAAGCTGTTATAATTTCACACGATAGCATGACAACTATAGAATTATCTACACTAAAATCTATAATTCACAATCATCATTGCTAAGAGAACAAGCAGATATACCAGTGATAACAAAACAAAGAGTAATCAGAGAATTAACCAACGAGTCCACGTAAGTGCTAGGACACCATAGTTTTAGAGAGTTTCTCTTTTATCAACAAACTATTTTGGTTGGGATCAATGGACACCATGCATTTGTGGTTAAATTTTGCTTTTCAACACCTCATTTATAGACAATTAAGATATCTAGTATACAAATATCACCTGAAAGTTGCATTCTACTATGTTAAGCCCATACAATTCCGCCGCTTGAGCATTGCCTATAACTCCAGCATCTCCTAAATTTTGCATGGATATAATCTGCAAATTAATATCCAAAACCACATCAGGCTTTTTTCAAGAGATCAAAAGGAGCATGTGAAGTTTTTATTAGATACCTCGGCACCAGCAGCACAGTGGTCGACATTTTTCTTTATAACCCTAAGACTAGAGAGTGAATGCTCGCACTGAGCAAATTCCTGCCATATAAAACAAGTACAGATGATCAAGAAATTGAGTCATACTCCATTCCCAAGACTGATAATTCTCTATTTTCAGTCATTTTTGGAGCCTTTTCATTTGTAGAGATGTACTTGACTGTACATGTTTTGTCAGGCAAAATTCATTTTCAATATAATTGTTGCACAAAGTCATGGACCAACAACAAAAACTGCTAATTACTTATTTAGCATATCATAACCTCTGGATGGCTGAAAATCGTTCTCAAATCATTCTTCTGCACTCCTGGAAGAGCCCAGAGACACAGCTCTATCTCCACTTGAACTTCTTGCACAATATGCAACTTATGTCGAAGAAGTAAGTCATAGTTCTGGTGAAAGCTTCCAGTGGATGAATTTTCAATAGGAAGAACAACTATGTCAGCAAGTGAAGAGTCAACCGCCTGTGAATTATAGAGTGATCACTTTTAAGAGTAAGATATATTTGGAGCAAATGAGGTTTAAGATTAGAAGAACATATTTACAACAACCTCAAATGCAGCCACAAACTTTTTGCAGGGAACGGCTATACAGTCTGGGAAGGCCTTAAACACCATCTCCTCAATGGCCGTACCAGGTGAGCCCTACAATCAAGAAAAGGATGGCATCAAACATACTATACACTGTTAAATTAAATAAATATTATCAAGCATGATTGCATCTTGTACCTGATACGCCACATGGACATTAGCCCTTTCAATATCTAATGACTGATCAGTGGCAAGTGATGGTCCTGCACAAGAGGCCAAGAGGGTAGAGAATTGTAATGGGGCATCACTTACATATAGGAATAAGAAAAGTTGCTAAGATAGTCATCATCTGTTCTTGTCTCTGATCACAAATTATTGATTATATGCCCAAGAAATAAGCTCTGAAAAGTAGCTTGAGTGCTAAAGCATGCTCAGAAAATACTGTTGAACTTGCCTGTAGCACTAGACTTCGATATTTTATCAATAATCATAGCATCTCGATGATATGTGCGTTTAGAGCATATACTCCCTCCATCCTAAATGTTTGACGCCGTTGACTTTTTTAAATATATTTGACTATTCGTCTTATTTAAAAACTTTTGCGAAATATGTAAAACTATATGTATAAATAAAAGTATATTCAACAATAAATCAAATGATAGGAAAAGAATTAATAATTACTTAAATTTTTTGAATAAAATGAACGATCAAACATGTTTAAAAAAGTCAACAGCGTTAAACATTTAGAGACGGAGGAAGTATTATCTAAAATCACTTCCGTCCAAGAATCCCAATAGAATACCAAGATCGCATAAACGGAATTGACTTACGATATGCTAATGAGGCCACATACCAGAACGTACTGCAATTGAACAGCACCTAATTTATACACATATCAATCTTACAACTTTGACAGCATGGAATAAACTGCATTTGCATTTAACAATACAACAAAGGAAAGGTGAAAAAACAATCCAGAAGAGATCAGAAATACGGAATAAAGGAATGCTATTCTTTCAGAGTTTCCAGTGACCAACAACTTGATAAGTTAGTGGAGAACCTGGATCGGTGCTTGACTTTGGTTGCTGCCAGTGGCCGTGCTGGCCCTATCGTGTGTCACAATGGCCGCGAGCATGTGACTGTTTGAGCATGGACATGACAGAGACCGATCAAAGCAACAGTAACCATGTCTTTTGTTTGGATCCCTCAGGTAGGTAGGTTTTGGTTGAAGTACAAAGAACGCATTTTAGGTAATATGAATAACATGATCAGTAAATATGATCAAATAACTAACAAGTACACATTCCTTTGATTTATAAATACATATATTAATGTTCGAAGTATTATTTGGGGCACGTTAATATATACCCTGCACGAGGCCTTGGCCTGGATAAAATGGAGCAAATTTGAATGGATAACGGTTATAGCATATTATATACCATATTATTTTAGCAGATTGGGATTTGGTGCGGATGCAAACGAAAGTAGTATATAATCAGAGTAGTCTCGACTTAAAAATGGATCAAAATTATCGGATAATACATGCATATATATAAATGATACAACAAAGGCAATAATAAGTAACAACTTAGCATCAAACAATGAAGCCAGTTATGCTCCCAAGCTCACATGAGTCGTTAAGGTAAAAATATAGATAACCATTTGAATGGACCATAATGGTGTACGGAATCGTATGGTGTTGTGATATACTACCTCCGTCCCAAAATGTAACAATTTAGAATTGGATGAGACGTATCCTGTATCTGAATAAAGGTCTCTCCAGATACGTTCTACTAGGTGTCCCATCTAAACATAGGTTGTTATATTTTAAGACGGATGGAGTAGCCTAAAAATGCGTATTATCGGATAGCCCTTTTATCATATATAATCCGTATTAAAAAAAATGGATAATCCACATCCATTGGATTTTAGGAATACAATGCCCTAATCCAAATCTATCTGATTTTAGGAAATACTTATATATCCTCACTTTAGTTCGATTCTTAAGTGGATCGAATCAGAAACTATCTGATCTATTTTCATCCATGCAACCTCAGTGAAGCCGGGTAGTAAGGTTTGATTTCCTAGGCAAGTGTAGGCCATGTACTTATTGATACAAAAATTCAGCTTGTGCATGGCCATGAACGATTTAGACTTGGTTTATTATCGGATCATGTGGAAGAAAATACACGAAAAATGGTGGAATTAATCAAGCTTACCGGAAAGGAAACCAACAGATGTGCACTCCATATGTCTCCCATCAGATGCTCATATATATGGAGAGAGGGAGAGACAAAGACAGCAACGAGCACGCGCATGGAGGGAGCCCGGCCGCCTCGCCGGCCCTACGGCGGCGGCGACGGCCAGCGGCGGAGGAGGCGAAGGGGAGGGAGGCGGCGGAACCGCGCGGAAGCGGGAGAGGGGCGACGCCGATGCGCGCGCGGGACTCTCGGATCAGATCTCCGGCGGGCAGGGGCCAAGCTTCTGAATATTTTGGACCGTGGGATGCGAGATGGACGGCTCAGATCCAACAATCTAAGGAATTCATTAAATGGGAGGTTTTTTTTTATTTCTCTAATCTATAATATATAATCTATCTTAATTGTGGCAGTAATAATGCAGACCGTTCAATCTCAAGAAAGAAAGAAATAACACTGTGTAATTACTTTACTATGTACACTATCAGCAGCACACAACAATGGTAACCAATGCTTTAGGGTGTGTTTGGATGCCCCTTTACCCAACCCCTCTCCCTCGTTTTCCGCGCGCACGCTTTTTAAACTGCTAAACGGTGTATTTTTTTGCAAAAAGTTTCTATATGAAAGTTGCTTAAAAAATCAAATTGATCCATTTTTAAAAAAAATTAGCTAATACTTAATTAATCACGTGCTAATGGACTGCTCCGTTTTCCGTGCGGTGAGATGGGTTCCCAACCCCAGATTAGGAACACAGATGTTAGAGAGCATATCTTGGACTCACTAGTGTGTGCACATTCTTTAAAAAACAACATCAAACATTCTATTAAATAGCCCTCCGGAATCTTGCTATTTAGGAGTATTAAACGTAGATTACCGACAAAACCGATTCCATAACCCCTAGGCTATTTTGTGAGACGAATCTAATGATGTATATTAATCAATGATTAACGGCTGATTACTGTAGCATCACTGTAGCAAATCATGGATTAATATACCTCGTTAGATTCGTCTCACAAAATAGCCTAGGGATAATCATGGATTAATATACCTCGTTAGATTCATCTCGCAAAATAGCCTAGGGATTATGGAATGAGTTTTATCACTAACCTATGTTTAATACTCATAAATAGCAAGATTCTGTAGGGTTATTTAATAGCTCGGAGGATCCGAACAAGACCTTTGTATAAAACCTAGGTTTTGTGAGACACGGTCTCAAAACCTATATTGCCTTGAAAATAGTGGTCTGGCAAGATGAATGCCCAAACCTTTTGGTTCTCTAAAACATTTTGGCTATCGTTTTTTTTTCTTGGATGTGGCCTCCTATTACAATTTCTTAGTGAATCATTATTGCGGGGTTTTCCATCATTATCTGAAGTTCACAAATCGATGCCCAGTAACTAATTGAAGCCCGACAAATAGTTGAATTTCCCGGTTATCGTGATGACCACTCAAATTTCATTGAATTTTACCAAGTTACCACGTCATCAGGTTGATAACCATGATAATCGAATGGTCACATCATTTTTGCAAACCCTGCTAATATGATCGCATATTGAAGATTGCTAATATGATCGTATTGAAGATTTCGATTCTATTATTAGGATTATTATCTAGTTTTATTTTTGATATTTTTAATTAATTAGAAAAAACATTATCGTAAACATGCTTCCTAACTACTAAACGGTACATTTCGTGCAAAAGTAAGTTTTCTATATAGAAGTTTCTTTAAAAAATAAAGTAAAGTTATTTTTAAGTTTGAAATAATTAATACTCAATTAATCATATATTAATGACTCATCTCGTTTTATGTCCGGCTGATTAGCTCATGCAAAATTCTCAGTCGAACAGAGCCTTAGTGGTGGCGGAGCCAAAAGCTTTTGGAAGTTTGACCAATGAGATAGCTCCAATTATCAGGGGCGGGCCCAGGATTTGAAGGTTGGGTATTCAAAATAAAGAGGGGGAAAATTTTCTACACTCAAAAATCATAATAATTGGTTTATATAATATCACATACTAGTAGTTATATAATATATAACATATATAACACAAAATTGAGCATAAGTTCATATATATATATATATATATATATATATATATATATATATATATATATATATATATATATATATATATATTTCAAATACACAAAATCACTCAAATTTTTCAAAATTTTCAAATTGTGAGTATATACCTAGTTATAATAACTCGATTCATACCTATACCTTTCAACAAAACAACTCAAATTTAACTTTATTTCACAATCCATGATTACATACCTAACTAATTATATGTATGGATGCTATATACCTAGAATCAAAATCTAACAAAAATAAGTTCAAATTCAGTTCAAACTTGCTTTGAACTAGTTAGTAAAGTAGCTAATGTTAATATCTAAGTAATTGAAAAAGTTTCATACTCATTTGAATTAGGTATATACTCAATTTCAACAATGGTGCCCGGGCACCATGGAGCACCAAACAAATTTACTATATATATATATATATATATATATATATATTTTGGTTGGGTAAAATGGAGTGAATCAATTGTGCTAATGGGCCAACAAAGAAGGGGGAGGACACATCCCAAAAAGGATGGTTTCTTTGCTTGATGGGCTGTTTGATGTCTTTTCTTTTATTTTTTGAATACACATATAAAATACATAGTATATATATATATATATATATATTTTGCCAAAATTCTTGGGCATTCATTTCAATACCCTTGAATTGTTGAAGGCCCGCCCCTGCGTATTATTGGTTTATTAGCCATTTTCAGCAAATATAACATGATATGTTTTTTGCGTCAAGCCTGAGGGGCGGCCACCCTTCAAGCTCGGAAGATATTAAAGTCACTTTTGATCATCATTCTTCACAATCTTCGCCACTACCACCTTAAGCGACTCAGTATAGGATCTTGCATCCTCTCAACATATTCTTGCGAAACAACGACGCTTGTGAGACATCATATGTATAGTGCAATTCCATTGAAGCCCATCTTCAATCCACCCCCCCAACCTTCTATTTCCACGACACCAATTTAGTCAAATAATAATTGTTAGGTAAATACAATTTCATCTAGCTAAGTACTCTTGAATTAATATTATTGCTTGCTTCAACCACACACAATGTGGTTGATGCACAAGTCCATCTACATCATATCCAACAGCCAAACATCAAGATGTTATTATTTACTCCACAAATAAATAACTCATTGATGTATTAGGCCAAACATATCATACCAATATGTTAAGAGTAGGTACAATAGTCTGACAGAGAAAACTAAAAAATATTCCGCATCATCTGATTCCTATATGGAGGAGAGAGACAGAGTAAGCAAGCAGCAAATCTAGCGCCGACGAGAACACAATTCCATATATGCGTTGCAGCATGCATGCAATTGCTATAGGCACTAAAAACATGTTTTATGGGCCCCACCACCACCCCTTGCAATCCCGTGTGATTTTTCCCTTCCCCGTTCTGTCTGGCATATCAATCGAAGCTCGTCTTGCGCATACCACCTGCTCCTCTTTCACTGGCCTGCCTCACCCGATCTCCTAGGCCCCACCGATGGAAACACCGCCGTGCATTAGATCTATGCCCATCACCCTCGTCCATCTGCTTCCACGGTCCATGCAATATCTCTTGTGTGAGTGATAGCGAGTGGCACTTCTGCCAGATCGACACCAGCCTACCTAGCCAATCGACGCCCATGTTTTCTCCTGCTCACCCTCCAAATCAATCAAGGCGTTGTCGCCATGCCATGCACTTTGGTTCTCATCGAGCAACAACAACTTCTTAATTTGACTTGTCATCATGTAATCTCCTCCTTTTTCTTTTTCTGCTTCTTCCCCATTGCATGCTTGTCAAGTCTGTGGAATGCATGTTGGTGGTCGGTAGTTTTATTTTCTATGATTGTTGAATTATCTGGTGTGCTGCGACTTCGTATACATTGATATTACCCATACAAAATTAATTATTTGACTGATGAGATACAGTCAACATAATAGACAACCTATCGTACTAGTTGGATCTAATATTAGCTGCAAATTGATGTGGAAATGGATATAGCCAGCAGTTGGTTATATTATTGACCTTGCTCTTACAAGTGATGCTCAAAACAAGACACTAAATGTAACAAATTCAAACACATTGTAATAACTAGGTACGTTACCACAAACAATTATAATTGTATGCGATTCGGTATGGACTAACACTTCTCAATATGAAAATATTAAAGTCCTATGTCTTCATTGAAGGGCTCCTACGAACCAGGTCTCTCTTAACCCTTTTCCTCACCAAAGTACCATGAAGGTCAAAATTGATAGCCACTCATGTTCCTCTTTTCCTTGTGAAGGTGAGGCTGAACCTTCACAAATGATCCTACGCACACCATATGCATCAGGTGCTCATGAGTGACCACCTCAAACAGTAATATAAGATATGGCTCTAGCTTGGAAACGAACTCGATAAATTTGAAGCTTACTAGCACTTTCCACTCATTAACTTTCACTCAAATGTAGGCAAAGGGGAGAGATGAGAGCTCTAGATACTGTGGAAGATTTGTTTCAACTTTGGGAACAATAGCTCCTCAAAAGGAGAGGTAGAGGAAGTTAAATACTCCACCCACAATGGACTAGCCATTAGGTACTGATTTGAAAATCTTGGAATTTTTCGGTCAAAGAGGAATGTCTAGTTAACCACACATCCAACACCACGCTTAGGTAGAGAAACTCTTCTCAGAATTTCCAATCCGAAGTTAGGTAACCCCAACTCCAAATTCTCACTAGGTGGATACTCACTCGGTGCTTCTTAGAATTTTCAGTTCTCCAAACACGACTATAAAAGTTTTTCTGGTTATGATCATTTGCGTATCATGCAAAAAGTTCCTACCCTTGTTTTCGTTCCATCTTACGGTACTTTTGCTTATTTAACAGAGAATTTGATCTTCCCTTGTTTAAATTCATTTTTCAAGACATTTTATTAATGATTTGGGGGTAGATTCCCATAAATGTACTACAAACTTTGGATGTTCTGATATGCGGTTAGATTATTTTGATGTATTTGTTTTTAACAAACCAACACTAGAATATATGAGAAAAAAAATCAATTGTACAAGTATGGAAAGGAATTGTACGTAAAGAGAGGACTAAGGTATAAACTCTGGAAGCCATTTTGCTAGCTCCTCTTAAAACCCAAGTTTTTTGGCCTCCTCCATTTACAACTAGCATGATCGTCGAGAGCTCTTTATATGCTGGAACACTCTATGATCTCTCGCTCCAAACTTCTCATGCCTTTAGTAGGATTAGAGTGTGGACTAATGTATTGGAAGCATACATGTGAAGGCATCATATATGCATGCCAACTGATCAACAAAAACTACTATTCTTTACTATTTAAGAAAGGAAAAAGCCTAAATACCTCTATAAACTTTGACTGAAAGTTCATCTAACACCCTAACCTTTAAAATCGATCATCCAACCCTCTGAAGTATACAATACCATTCATACAACACCCTAAGGTAGTTTTGAAAAGTGGTTTTTATCTAGTTTGGATATACGTTGGATTAGTTTATCGACATGACATATGCATTGGACATATATGTTAAAATCTCCACCTAAATGTTTCCTTTTTTTTTTACCCTTTTAGCTCTCACTTACAAACAATGTCGATATAATATTAGTAGGACGTCACTAGAGTGTATAAATTGATGACCGATGATGGATGATATGTAAATATGTGATATTAGCTATTCAAAACCGTTCTTTTAAACTTCCAATTACGCATAGCCAGCATCCAAAACCACGTAAGGTGTAATATGAACGACATTGGGGTTGGATGTCTCTGGTTTTAAAATCTAGGTGCTAGGTGAACTTCTATCAAAGTTTAGAGGGTACTCTCTCCATCTTAAATTAGTTGTCTTTTTAAGATTCAAGCTTTGTCCCAAAATAGTTATTACAATGGAGTACTATCTGTCCCATCAATCACTTCTAATTCAAATTTATCTCTTTTCTACCCTTGGCCATCCTTCCATATCCAACCATGCATCATTTAATAAAGGGCATTGTAGTCTTTTTTCATAAAACTTAATCCATGCAAAACAACCAACTAATATGAGACGGAGGGAGTATATCCTTTAATAAAACATGACAATTAAAAGCAGCTATGACATCAAATCAGAACAACCCACTAACCTCTTGCACGCTGTGCACGTGCGCATGTATACGCACCCTTGGTAGCCGGTCGAAGCCTCACGCCGCCGCCGGCCGTAGCGATGATCCCCGGCACAACCAGGCGGCGTCGTCGCGCCATGATCATCATCCCCTCGCCGCCACCACCATCATCCATCCCCGCGTAGCCAGCACAGGCGACCGCCCGCCGCGACATCAGCCGGCTGCTTGCGGCCACCGTCGTCGCGGCGGCGCCAGCGAACACCGAGAGGCACGAGGCGGCGGTAGCCATGGCGCTGGCCGGCCGACGACGACTAGGGAGATCGATCGAGCCGGAGAAGGGGGAGAGAAATCGAGAGAAAAAGATCGAGCGGTGCGTGTGACGCTAGGGGAGTAGGGGGTTTAAATTTAGCTTGTAGCGATCGAGAGAGAGCTTTCTAGCTGCTTTCGGCGAAGAACAACTAGCGAATTGAAATCCGGAGCCGTTTCGAGCTGCTTTTGTTTTTTTGTTTTGTTTTTTTTTTTTTGCGTGTTTTAGTTTGCAAGTTTGTGGAGTACTTAGCTGGCGAGATAAGCAGGCGTTACTATACGTGTTAGTTACAACCAGTGAGTTGTCAACTGTAGAAGCTCTGATGCAAAAATTACAGTTGTAAAGCTTGTAATCTGACTTAATTACAGTTGCCAGCTGAGAAATGCAAAAATTGGACCTGACTTTATGAGGGGGAAAATTAAACACCAGCTGGTTCTCTCAATCCGGTGGATGTGAAATTGTGAATGTATATGTGATCGACCCACTTCATCACAACTAAAAATCTCATGATTATGAGCAGCTCCATCACTTAGCAACCTAGCATTTTCACATGTTTTTTCCATTCGATTCATGCAAATAACCTCCCTCATGCAAGAATCACACCGACCAAATAAGGTGAATCATCTAGAATTGATTCACCTCTTTATATAGGGGAGGTGAAGTGACCAAAACATCCCTCCATGCAAAAATGAAACAAACCAAATATAGACATCTCCACAAAAATTAAAAAGTTTTTATTGTTAGTTGAGTCCTTTGCTCCAAATAGATTGATCCGTAATAACACCAATCCTCTATGACCTTATTGATACGGCACGGAACGAGCCCATTCCTGACGAGTGATTTATAAAGGAGTGAACAAACTATAAAATGTAGTGAGCCGCTGGTGCCTCGGTGACCAAACCAATTGAAAAGCAACAATCTTTTTTTTACTTAGTCACAAGACGAATAAGTACCATTCGAAACCAAAGCCGTCTGCACTTTTTAACCAGGAATACCAGGAGAAGGATTTGAAGACGTTCTTAAATAAGCGGATGGGATGGTTTGATGGCTCTCCGTCGCACGCCACACCACGCCTTGGCCCTCGGTTCAGTGTGCACGCATGGCTGTCCATCCACTAGTTTAACAAGTCAACGGTTACACCAGTTTACAACCTATTTAAGTTGAGATATTTTTTTATTTGGTTTTTCATGTGGTATTAATCCTAACATTAATTGTGAGTTTTTAAAATTTACTAGAATTAATTGGTCTAAGCCTGATTAATTCTAACATCTCGTTCCAATAGAGTTGTCAAAATGAGAAGCCCTACCAAAATTTTCCTCCATGAAACTCTTGGTTAATGTAGTACCACACAAACAACTATACTTTGCAGTGATATTGGTGAATTTTCTCAAAGAGATGTCCCATTTGAAACATTTTTACGGTCAAACCATCAGATCTCAAGTGCAGGAAAAAGCACCACCACTTGCACTTTGTTCACACGGAGTTGGAGTATTAGGCTTAGGCCTTCTTTGGGAAATTTTTTAGGTTTGGTTATCAGATATACAGAGACATATTTAAAGTATTAAATATAGTCTAATACTAGTTAAATCTAATTAATCAGTCATTAGCAAATGTTTACTGTAGCACCCTATTATCAAATCATGGCGCAATTAGGTTTAAAAGATTCGTCTCGTAATTTACACGCAAACTGTGTAATTGGTTTTTTTAAATATGTAATACTTGATATATGTGTCAAACATTCGATGTGATGGGTAAAAAATTTTCTCTAGTAAAAGGAAAACTCCTAAATAACAGCAGTAAAAGGAAAACTCCTAAATAACAGCATGTTCGTGTACGGTACCTGCAGAAATATCACATCAGTTTATGCATTGCATCTTGCATGGAAGTCCAAAAGATGGATCGAATCTGACTATACTGTCGTACTGCCCTCCAATATTTGTCCAGTTGACCGTAGTACTTGTTGTAGTCATGGTGGTCTCTAGGCTAGTGTAGCGTACTTGAACGCCGTGTCATTACTTTTGGGGGCCCTTACGCTGAGAAGTTGGCATCTGTCTGATATGTAGGCCCAATTGGTTTGAAGGACCAAAATTGCTCGTGTAAAGTTGTACTTCCTCCACAAATTTAAGAGATTATTTTTTAAAGAAAAACTAGCTGGGTGGCTCGCTCAATTGCGCGGCTAGCACCTATATAAAATTATATATTTTTAATATTATTTTACTTAAAATTTATTAAATAGTTATCCCGTTGTCTAAAGACTTTAAACGACAAAAAATTATCATACTCGTGTTTCTAATTTTATTGTTTTTAAGTCACACCAGTTGCTACCCCTTATTTATGTCATATTCTTCTTTATTTTCTTACTCGATATACCACTGTTTCTATTCATTCTCCTTAAACTTTTAAAAATTGGATCTTATGGTTTTTAGAATTTATTGTCCTGTTGGGTTTTGTTTTTATATTTTCTAAAAGTCTCGTCAAATGCTGCCATTATACTCTACGACCGTCCACTATATCTTCTTTTTATTGTTAGTGGTATTTTAAAAATAACATAATTATCGTTTAGTTTTTTTTTACTTTCTAGAAGTTCCGCCAAAACGTCAACGACTTTGTCACTATACTTCTCTACGGCTCGCCCGCTGTCGCATTTTTTTTATTGTCATTGAGATTTAAAAATCAAACATGATTATCATTGAGATTTATTTTTTTACTTTTTAGAAGCCTGAACGTTTAAAAAATAGACTTTTAGTTTTTAGAGTTTATTGCCTCGTTGGGTTTTTTTTTTTTTTATAATTTTTAGAAATCCTGTCAAACGTTGTCACTATACTCCTCTACAACCCATCTGTCGCCTACTCTTTATTGTCATTGGAATTGTAAAAATTGATCATAACTATAGTTGAAATTTATTTTTTACTTTCTAGAAGTCCTACCAACCATTAGCGGCTCTGACATTGTACTTCTGTACGACCCGCCTGATGCCTCTCATTTTTATTGTCATTGAGGTTTTAAAAATCAAATATGCTTATCATTGGGTTTTTTTTTTTTACTTTCTATAAATCCCGCCAACCGCCTTGACCGATTGCTTCATGACCTGCCCGTCGTCCTTCCTTTTAATCGTCATTAGGATTCTATTTAGTGTTTTACTCGTATTTTTTAGATGTCCCATCAACCGCCACCACTCTACTCCTTTATAGGCCTGTTAATTAATCTTGTCATGTGTTTTAGATGGTCTTTTCTGTCAATAGTCTTTATTTTTTATCACCAATTTTAGATATTTATAAATTGTATTCCTACTTGAAATCTCTTTTTAATTTGTATAATTTCAGATTTTATTTTATTTTTTATTTCGAATTTTAATTAATCTACTGTTGGGTTCTTATATGTACTCTTGTTTCAATATTGCTTATATTTAATTCTGAATTACAGTTAATTTTAAATTGTATTCCTACTTGAACTCTTCTTTTATTTTTCTTTTTTCTACTGTAATTTCTTTTTTTTATTTTTTATTTCGATGTTTAATAATCTCATATTGGGTTTTTATTTGTTAATTTTAATTCTGAATTTTAGTTATTTTAAAATTGTATTTTTCTACTCAAACTCTTCTTTTCCTTTTTTGCTAATTTCGGGTTTTATTTTATTTTTATTCCGAATATTAAATAATCTCGTATTGGATTGTTACGAGGACTCTTCTTTCAATAGTGCTTATTTTTAATTCCGAATTTCAACTATTTTCAAATTGTATTTCTAGTTGGACTCTCATTTTCTTTTTCTTCGATTAATGTGGAAATTTCTAGCCCCCACAGCGAACGTGGTGCCTCCTTTCAAGGATGTTTTAATAATATAATAGATAAGGAAAAACATAGTACAAAATAAGATAGTTGGACGAATACTAGACAAAAGTAAATATATGATGAATAAAATAGTACAAAAGTTGACAGATAAAGAATAAACTAGTACAACAGTTATACCTGGAATTACAAATCTATTATATATGTGGACAAACCAAAACGATATGATCCTTGTATTTATGGACAAAGAGAGTATAATGATTTCTCGAGTTTTTTTTTCATAGATTAAAGAGATAAGCCAGGTGAAATTAAATGAGGGATGGTTGTGATTGCTTTAGATAAGGAAGTAGGTAAAGAAAGTAAATGAGAGATGGTCGTAATTGATTGATATGGGAGAGTAAGGTAAGAAATTGCTATATTCTATGATAAATTTTGTACCCTAAAAGTTGTTATATTTTAGGACATAGACAATAATATAATTTGTGCTTACAATTTGAATCAGCACAATTTAGCTCCCATCAACGTGCTTACGGGGAAGAGTCATTTTTCTGCATTTCCCCAAACCATAACATAGACCCAATCAGTTGCTCTTACTTATCGGCACATATTTTTTTTTCAACACAGAAAATTTGTAAAAGAACATTTCAATTACGCAGCTGAAAAGGCTCCATAGCAAGTAGACACCCTGTGACTGTAGAGTTTTCAGCAATTGAGCTACCCGTGGTAAAAAAAACTGCCATTTTTCACTGCGAGTCCAGGAATGTTTTTGGCAGCCAAAATTGCACGGTAAAGCCTGAGAGTAGGGCCGATGATCCTGCCCTGCAAAGAGCCGACACACACACACACACTGCCATGGTAGGCCAGTACTACCGACACAGGAAAAGGAACCATCGAAACGCATCGATCCACGGCATGCAGCCACACCGCCACCTCCATCCAACACTCCCCTGTTTCCATTCCATCTGCCTCAAAGGAAAAAAAAAAAGCACAAATGTACACACCAGTTCAGAAGAGTTCAGAGTTCATCATTGAGACACTTCATGAACTCTTCTTCCATCCAGAGTTCCAGACCAGATGATTCAGGCAACATTGTATAGATGATTCAGGCCAGGCCGTGTTTAGTTGTTTAGGTGTAAAAATTTCGAAGTATACGGACACACATTTAAAATATTAAACGTAGACTAATAACAAAACAAATTACATATTCTGTATGTAAACTGCGAGACGAATCTATTAAGCCTAATTAATTCGTCATTAGCAAATGTTTACTGTAGCACCACATTGTCAAATCATGACATAATTAGGCTCAAAAGATTCATCTCGCAATTTACATGCAAACTCAAACTGTGCAATTGGTTTTTTTCGTCCACATTTAATGCTTCATGCATGTGTCCAAACACTTGATGTGATGAAATTTTTGGAAGTTTGAAGGGAACTAAACACAACCTAGATAGGATTACACAGAAAGAACAGAAGGAATCCATGTAATGATTGAGCGTCTCGGTTCTTGCGCAGTTTTACAACACAGCTGAACAATCAGTTGAGAAGAACAGGAGAGGGGGGGGGGAGAAATTTACCAGGCATGGTTTCACAAGCTCTATTCCCTGGCATCTACTGATAACCATTGTGCTTTTCTTCTTGAGTAGTGCAAAGCTAATGCTAGGTATTATTACCAGTGGCATGGCTCTTCCCAGATGATTTGGTAATTACAGGTTCTGGGAGCTCTCACTGAACCAGGGCCACTGGATCATGTAACCTGATTCTAGCTAAGCTTGGTCTCTTTGGTCTTCCCCTTCTTAGTCTTGGATGACTTCTTGTCTTGGCCCTTAGACCCGAGGCTTACCCAAGTGTAGTCACTCGGGATCGTGAACGGGTCGGTGTTGTCCGCAACCTGCGACAGGTTCACCGGCTTCGATCTGGAGTTCTTCAAGCCCCACTTCAAATAGGAGCTCTTCTGAGTGTCTGGTTTGTGCATGATGGATCCCGGACCCGGGCTCACCAACAGGCTGGGGCTTGACATCGGCGTGAAGAATTCCTCCGGCTCGAGGAGAGGGACGAACTTGGTGAAGGTGATCACTACCCTCACCGTTGGAACAACAGGAATGGCAACCTGCATTAAAAACAGAAGTATGGATCAGCTGAATTCATACACTTCAACTTCACAGAATGTCTCTAGAGTAGCAAAAATGAGTATATGTCCATTCCAGCAGACCAACTCAATGTCTCCCACAATATTTCTTTGGAAGCAAAATGATGCATGAACATGATGAAGCAGCATAAGGATAGTGTTGAGCATGCAACTACAATGAGTACTACTTTTGTAAACAATGCATTGAGTAAGCTTGAAATGTTCCATGCTTTTTTATCCTAAACCAGCTTCTAGCACGACAAGGTAATAACATCCATCACCAACTCCTCAAATTGAGCAAACCAGGAAATTCCCTCTCGGTGCAGATCAGCATGTGCACCGAGTAAACTTCATTCAATTTTTGTCCTAAATGTTGTCACACATTTATGCACATCAAGCTTGCGCTATTGTACAATGAACAGTGAAGAACGGTTCACGTATGGATAAATGGTCCCAATGTAGCAAATGACAATAAGTCACCTAACAGGCTAACACCTAACATTATTATCAGATTGATGACAAGAATTTCTAGTGCACATAGAGATAATTTGCTCATATAAATTTCAAGGAGATAAGTTCTACATATTGCTGATGCTACATTAGTGATGAGTTAACTGATATGCCCATTGACTTCTGCAACCACATTGCCAGTACCAGTACTGAAGAATGAACTATGAAGAATTACTGAAACATTCTAAATTCTTGCCAAATTTGCAAAATGATGAATTTGCTTCAGCTGAAACACTAAGAATTTCAGTGCTTCATGCAAGAATTGGAGCAGCAGAATGGTAGAATTGGTGGTTTGTTACCTTCACCGGGAATGTCCCCGGCGGGAACTTGGTGGTGAGCAGCTCGCGGAGGCGGCGCACGGCGCGGACGCGGCTGGCCAGGATGTCGAGCAGCGGCAAGAACTCGTCGACGGTGAGCGGGAAGTCCTCGGTGAGCCAGACGGTTGGCCGCAGCGTCTTCACCGTCTCCTCCTCCTTCCACCTGGCTCCCCCCGTCGTGGTGGCGTGGCGGCCGAACACGCCGCCCTCGCCGCGGCCGACGGACGCGCACGCCGGGAGCCGCCGCGGCACGTCCACGCTGTTCCGCCGCCTCTGCGGCGTCGCCATGTGCGACGGCGGCGCCGCCACGCTGCGCCGGCCGGGCACGTAGCAGCTGCGGCGCGACGGGGGCGGGGGGATGTCGGCGACCAGGAAGTCGCCGTCCTCGTCATCGTCGCGGATCTCCAGGGGGAGGAAGTCTTCCTCGTCGTCGTTGTTGTCGTCGTCGTCGTCGTCTCCGGCGAGCTCGAAGGTGAAGTCCTTGCGGCCGGCGTTGGCTGCCTTGAGCGTGCGGAAGGAGAAGACGACGTTGTGGACGTCGAACACCCGAGCCTTCCACTCCCCGACGCTCTCCGTCTTCTCCTTCCGTAGCCATGTCGTCCTCGGCACGAGCCTCGCGGAGGAGATGTTGAGCCCCGGTCGATACGCGGCCGCGTCAGATGTGGCCGAATCCTCGTCGCCGGCGGCCGCCGCCGCCGCGAACGCGTCGTGCACCTCGCGCTTGCCGCGGTGGAGCACGAGGAGCGAGCCCGGGGGGAGGTGGCGGCCGCCGGCGTCGGCCTCCTCGCCGAAGAAGAGGAACGAGTGGTCGGCCCGGCGGATGCGGAGGCCGTCGAAGCCGGCGAGCGTGGTGTCCGCGCGGAGCTCCGCGCCGCGCTTCCAAATGCGGTAGGTGTCCGAGGGCGCGGCGCGGGAGAGGAGCGGCACGACGGAGCTCTCGAAGTGGAAGTCCACCTCGAGGTAGAAGTCCTGGACCCGGCGGAGCGCCGCGGACAGCGCGGGGGCGCGGCGGCGGAGCTTGGCCCAGGCGGCGAGGCGGTGGGCGCGGAGGAGGCACGCGGCGATGTCCTTGCAACCCAGGCAGAGCGCCTCCTGGAGGGGCGTCCACCCGGCGTGGTTCTGGAGCGTGGGGTCGGCGCCGGCGGCGGCGAGCGCGGAGGCGAGGGAGGGGAGCCTGAGCCTCACGGCGAGGTGGAGCGCGGTGTCCCCGCCCGGGACGTCGCGGCGGTCGAGCGCCCCGGACACGGACGCCGCGAGGCGGGCCTCGCGGGCGGCGTCGGCGGCGGTGAGGATGCGGCTCGGGTGGGCGAGCGGCGGGAGCCCATGGAGGACGCCCGCCAGCCCGGCGGCGTCCCGCAGCGCGACGCGGTGGTGCGCCGGGCTGTGCGTGTAGTCCGACGGCCGGATCGGCGCCGACGACGTGCGCTTCGGCCGCGCCGCCGCCGGCACGGGGGAGGAAGGGTCCTGGACCGGCATTGCCTGCTCCTGCTCGGGGCGCGAGCTCTCGGGATTCTCGCGCCACGGACGGCTAGCGCAAAGCTCTAGCTCTGGGAGAAGCTCTGCTCCGCTCTGCGCGGCGCAGTGGTGCGGGGGGAGATCGAGCGGAGTGGTGACTGAGAGCTCCCAGCTGCTGCTGAGGTGAGGGGGTGGGGAAGAGAGACTCGAGCGAGCTGACGGATAACTGGGCCGGGCCGGGCCGGGCCCACAAACCGGAATTTGCTCCACTAAACGGCAATTTTTTTATATTTTAATAATCCAATATCTACAGCTCCGTCCATCCTAAAATATACTAGGTTCCTCTCAAAATGTAATAATTTTTAGCTCTATATTTAAATACAAGTATACTCGAATATGATGGGGCTTTGTTCGTTTGTATGCAGTCATCTGCGACTATATTATAAGCATCACAACTTATGCTGCGGTGCTAGACTGTGCAGCACAGCAATCACTTCCGAACATCCTTATAGCTAAAAATCACTATATTCTACTATAGAGATGGTAATAAATTTTAACTATTAATCTAGATAAGTTTTGAGATGGATGTAGTATAATTTTTTACCAAATCATGATCTTATTTCCACTAAAACTGTCATATAATACAATTAGAAATTGCTATAAAATTATTTACACAGATCCTCTTGCCATCCAAATAAAAATAGAAACTAGTTGGATAAAGTAGCAATAATACTACTACTACTGTGGTATACTATATGAAAGTGGCAAGTGAGCGAAAAAAACAACAAAAAAGTGATGTTCTATCGAGGCATCAACGTGGCGTGTGGTGAGGTGTGTGAGTACGACAAATCGAGCTTTGTGGGGTGGGCCAGGGCTGGGCCGGGGGCCCGTATCTGCCATCTCCTCGCTTTATTACGCTAACTGCCCCTGCATCTCTTGGGTTCTGGTCAGCAACTGCCTGTTTACTGCTTTTGCTTTTCTTTACCGCTCTTTGGAAATTTGCAATAAGGACCTTGAGATGGTTGTGTATTGTTGCTGCGTCACGCTGGAGAAGGTTTTCCTTTGGGAGGATGAAAAACCCCTTCCAGTACTTTTTTTTTAGAATACCTTCCAATACATCTTGAAAAAAGATTTATTTTTTAACGAAAATGGAAAACTATTTTGGCAATACTTGAAAAAATATGTACATAACAGGCGAAAACAAATTAGCCCTAGCTCTATCTATGTCTATGGTCAGACTCTTAGTCTCATCTCCGATATAGAAAAGGAAAAAAAAAAGACAAAGTACCCGAGTAAAAAATGATATATTTTTTTTTCTCAGGTAGGTAGATACACCTATAATTATATATAATATCATTTAGTCGCTATAATAGATAAAATAAATAAATAAATAATGACCAACCGCTAAATTTTGTTACCAAACCATTTCTTCATGGTGGCACTTAGGCACGATCCAATCATCCAAAGAGGGGTTGATCAATGGATGCTACACATGAACAACCAAAGTATGAGGGTGTATCATGCAAAAACCGTGGATTTCTCTTTAGCTTTTCCTTTTCCTTCTTCCCCTTCTTCCATGACCAGCCTGGTTATACAATGCAGGCTGGTATGGACTGCTCTACTGGTCACTCACTCACTCACCTATGTAGTGTGATCTGATACCATCTGCCTTTTGGTGAGTACAAACCATGGGATCTCCTTTAATTGGGACGGGAGACGGTTGGATCATCCCTTTGCCTTTGCTTTTCTTTGCTCCTCTTTTCTTCTTTTCCTCTTTGCCTTGGAATCCTCCAAACTAGGGGGTTTTACCTCTTTTCTTCTTCAGAGAATCATCCAGATTAGTACTGAGATTAAGCTAGCACTAGTGTACTAGCTCTTGGGGTCCATGGATCATGGATGGATGCATGCATGGGAGATGTTGTTGTCGTTGTTGCAGGGTCCACGTCGATTTGGGGAGAAAAGGAGAAAACAAAGAGAGAGAAAAAAAAGGGAGGATCACCTGTGACGGGGAGTCGGGGACACTGTTCCGTTGCAGTTGCAGCTCTCATCTCCGGTTTTTGGACCACACCTTCATGTTCATGGATGATGATGATGTGTGAGAGGCTCCAAGTTTAGACACCAAGGCCTGAAGATTCTGCTAAAACGCGGGAATTTCTTACGAAATAGTAGGAGTAGTGTAACTCTGTTTGGTGCTGATGGTAATGCTTAAGGGATTTTGATTATACAGAATATAGTTAAAGTCACTCTGTTATGAAGAAGGACGGAATGGCAAAGGGCAATGGGCATTGGGCAATGTCGAGGGATCTTTTAGAACGCAGAAATTTTATAGATTTCTTGTTGACTTGATTATAGCGGTGATTTTCCTCGCGGTTCTATATTTAAATTAACTATTTTGAAAAACAAACTTAACTAACACTCGTCCGTATCAAAATATAATACTAACTTCTATTATTTAAAAGTTATCCCAAAATATAATAATCTATTCACCAACATTCTATTCTCAACCAATCATAGCGTGACCAATTTAATTTCTCTATATACTTTTTTTTACCTATCATAATATTTCTATATTTAATTTTATCTACTTTCTTAATATAATTAACCTTCTTCTACTGTGGAATGGAGGTAGTAGCTTAGAATAAAGGATGCGAAAACATATTTTTGAAGATTTAGGCCTAAGTTCGTTCTAGGCTTGGCTACTTCGACGTTTTCCGTGAGCACGCTTTCTAAACTCCTAATCGATGTATTTGGTGCAAAAATTTTCTACATAAATATTTGTTTAAAAAATCAAATAAATTTATTTTTTAAGTTTATAATAATTAATACTCGATTAACTATGTGCTAATGGTTTGTCACGGTTTAACTGCCACCCCCAAAAATTTCAGCCATTCAGCTGATTAGAATGCAGCCTTGGAGCAAAATAATCCACGACAACAATCCAATGAAATAACTGAAAAGGGTAAGGGTGGTTCCATTCATCCGAAAATTCTAAAAATCATTACTCCTAGAAGAGGAGACCTGAATAGCAAATGGCTACTCTCTTTATCTTAAAAAAAAAATAAGAGTGTGGCACAGGAGATCCTGGGCTTCCTGGCTTGGGAATCTAGTGGCAGTAGTATAGTTGCAGTGGTAGTACTAGTAAACACACGGATCTAGGATTAAAAGAGAGTTCTAAAAAAAGGATTAAAAGAGAATTATTAAGACAGATTGGGGTCAGTGATTGTGAATAAAGCCACGCAACAACGGATTGGTGAGAAAGAAAGGGGCCCAAGCCCAACAAGGCATCGGGGATGGAGATGAAGCATACAAGTAGACGTTGCACGGGGTCAGGGGCCGGTCTTGTCTTCTTGCTCTTAACACTCTTTCTCCTCAAGATCTTCTGTGCTGCCACTGTTACTGACTAGTTTAAGGTCTGGTTGGAGAGGTTATAACTGCTGCAACGTCTACCATAATCAGAAACTTCCCAAGCAGTTTAGATTTTAGTCTAGATTCTAAGGGCCAGTTTGGTTTGTGACCAATGTTGGCAAGTTTTGGCATGTCAATTTTTGGTAAGGCTAACATGTGTTTGGATTGAAGCCAAATTAAACTAATTTGGCTATTGAATTGGCCTATGTTATATAGGCATGCCAAAATTTAGCTTCAATCCAAACATACACAAATATTGTTGAGGTTGCCAAAAAATTGGTAAGCCTAGGGCCTGTTCACTTTGATGCCATTTTCAACCTTACCAAATTTGGTAAAATTGCCAAAAAAGGCTACATTTAGTTTGCTACTAAAATTTGGCAACTATATAAGAAATCCTACCAAAATTTTAGCAAGTTACCAAAATTTTGGCAACTATGCCAAAATTTGGTAAGGTTTTTTTTGGCATCAAAGTGAACAGGCCTCTAATTTAGGCCTCAAACCAAACTGGCTCTAAAAAGCTGTAGCTATAGAATCCAGAAAATAAACTAAAATTCATAAGCTGAAAAACATGCTTTTTTATATTCTTATAAGCTATAGTTAGCAACCAGCTGCTTCTTAAAATTTTAAACCTCCAAACATACCCCTATGCTCCATTGGTGGTGATTAATTCGACAGGTTGTACGGCCGGCGCAGAAGATCCTCACGACAGCGTGGGCGGTGGAACCAATCAGCACTGCGGTTGAAGCTATAGTATGCGTGTCCGCCTCCCATGCGAAGGTGGGGGGAGAGGACAGAGGAGGTCCACTAGCTAGCTGTAGCAGCAACTGCAACTGCAATTATCCACACGCGTCCACGCCTACAAGAACAAGCCGATTTGATGGATGGATGGATCAGTCGGGGGGTGTGTTTACTGAAATTTTAACAAATTGACCCTCATAGAAAACTTATTTTAAGATTGGACTGTGCCAAAATCTAATTGCAAAAATAAGCAGTTGGCTCAACGCCATCAAGTTAGACGCTAACATGTAACTTTTCAACGCCGATAACTGGCGCTGAGATCCTAGCAGCGCCAAACTCATTGGCGCTCCACCTCGTTTTCGTAAGTAGGAGTTCCCAACTCCCTCTGTCTCGTTTTCCGCGCGCACGCTTCCCAAACTGTTAAACGGTGCGTTTTTAAAAAATGTTTCTAACGAAAATTGCTTAAAAAAATTATATTGATTCATTTTGAAAAAAAGCTAATACTTAATTAATTATGTGCTAATGAACTGCTCCGTTTTCCGTGCAGAGAAGATGGGTTCCCAACCCATCTAACAAACACAGCCTTAAGCGGTACATGGGGTCAGCGCCAAAGAATTTAGCATTGACCCTCTGCCACGTGGAATGCGCCGCCAACTCATCTAGGATCTTAGCACCAACACTACGGGCGCTGAGACGTTATATATCAGCGCCAATCTTCATAGCGCTGAGCTGATGGCTTAGTTTTGCAATTAGTTTTTAGCATGGATCAATCTTAAAATAAGTCTTCTTAAAGGGTTAATTTGTCAAAATTTCGGGTGTGTTTAGATCAGGGGTGTAAAAAGTTGGCGTGTCACATCGGATATACGGACGTACATTTGAAGTATTAAAGTTAGACTAATAACAAAACAGATTATAGATTCCGCCTGTAAATTGCGAGACGAATTTATTAAGCCTAATTAATCTGTTATTAGCTAATGTTTATTGTAGCAATTAGGCTTAAAAGATTTATCTCGCAAATTAGTCGCAATCTGTGCAATTAGTACCCGAACACCCTATGCGACACCCTATATAATATCTGATGTGACATGCCAAAACTTTACACGTATGGATCTAAACACCCCCTTAGTTGTTGGTATTACTACCAACTTGTGCTAGAATTCAATTGCGCATTGCAGTAAGTACTCTCTCCGTTAAAAAAAATCAATTCTAAAAATATATGCGAAATACACGTTATTCGGATACATCATCAGAATTGGTTTTTTTTATAGAGGAGTATTTCCTCCATCCTAAAATATGTATACTTCTCTAGTTCTATCAAAATGAGTGCACTTCTTTAGAAGAGCACTTATTTTGGGACTAAGGGATATCATTTTCATATACTCCTAAGTGGATGAGTTTATTTATTTGCAATGATTACTTTCTCTATAGGTAAATATAAGGGACTATGTTTTTTTTACTTTATCCATCAATGTAAAGGATTTGTGATTCCTAGATGAGAAAAATACGGTAGTGATTACTCCCATCCCAAAATATACGGGATTTTGGAAGGGATGTGACATCCTATTATTACGAATCTAGACATACAGTTTGTTCAGATTCGTAGAAATAAGATGTGTTACATTCTCCAAAATCTCTTATATTATGGATGGAGAGAGTAGATAGCTTAAATAAAAAAGAGAGAACATTCATTTTTTTATAGTTTATTTAATGTACCAATCCATCAATGCCCTTTTTTTAGAGAAGGGTATTTTTTGCCCGGCCTCTACATCCAACCGGATATATGCAGCCTTTTCTAAATTAGGAACTTAGCCTATCAAACAGAAAACTTAGCCCTCAAATAAACCCAATCTGAAATTCGCTCCTATGGAGATTTAAACTCAAGACCTTGAGGTGCTACTCAGGTCACTGCAACCACTAGGCTATATGCCCTTTCACTATCCATCAATGCCATGAACCAGTCCACCAATAAGGTTGTGCTCGCTACAATGTTTTTATTGAAATTACATGAATAGCCCACCTATATACCCATGGCTGAATTCCTAGATTTTAGAGTGGTTTAATCAAATTCAGAATTCGTTCTTACCGAATCACGTGAAGCGTTGGAGTACTAAGTGATATGTGTGGTTTGATATTCCCACATGAACTGTTGGAGTTACTCCTACGTCTATACTTTATGGAGTAGTAATATAAAAAAGAGCCGTTCATCCCTAACAATCCTACGGGTCAAATCAATTGGTTAAATCCCTACCGTCCATTCGTAGAGCCCTTTCACCCTCCCTACCATCCACCGCGATTTCACCCTCCCACAGCGACATCATCCTATCACCACCGCCATTTTTCGCCCGCCCACAGATTGTTATGGCGAGAGGATGGTTCTACAGTTGCTTACCACAATGACATCATCCTATCACCACCTCCATTTTCGCCTGCCCACAGATTATTATGGCGAGAGGATGGTTCTACAGTTGCTTACCACAGTGACATCATCCTATCACCACCTCCATTTTCGCCTGCCCACAGATTATTATGGCGAGAGGATGGTTCTACAGTGCTTATTTTAGAGGGAATCGGTTATGTTTCATGTAAACGTCAACGATTTGGAATAAGTTTATTGCTTATAACAATAAATGGAATTGAAGTGATACTTTTGACATAAACGTGTATTGCACGTGCACGGTTACTAGTGATATAGCAGCAACTATATTTCTTGATATGATAATGTTTGGTTCAATAGCGGTAACTCATGGAGAATTAACGGACGTATTATTCTGACAGTTGTCATTCTGAACAGGAAAGCCTGTGAAGAGAACAAACGCTGAAGATGGAGTTGAGCAAATTCATAGTGCAACAAAAAACATCTAGAGGCAGAAGAGATGTCAGGAAAGAATGATGACGTCGAATCGATCTACGCTGTTATGCGACCCAAAATCAATATTTTTTTAGTTGTTCTGGATTGTGATGCATTCAATATTATGCAAAAACCATAGCATATATATAAGTCTGAGACTATTTTCGTGTTAAATAGTGCTCTCGGACAACGTTGCTTCAATTATTGGTAGCCATGCACAGGCCAACACTCCGAACGTCACACTAACAAGGCAGACAAACACAAATTAACATTCCATCCCAGCCATTTTATTGATGTGCCTGAGCACCACAAGACAAAAATTACAAGCATCGTTCACACCGACATCGCATGCATGGCGGACCATGCATCTTCGCCAAAGTTGGTGCTGAATATGGCCCCTAATCTTTGCCAAAGCATAAAGTTCAGGGGTTCCATCTCAAACGGAAGGAAATTAAACAGCAAATCAGTATGGCTGGGACAGCGCAGTAGGCCAGTAGCTAGCGCCTAGGCGGTAGCGCCCGCAGTGGGGGGCATTACCTAGCGGCCGGAAGGGAAGGCCCGCCGTCGATCCCCGCTGGACCCCCATCGCCGCCGCGGCCGCCTGTCCCGCCCTCCTCACCGCTAGCGCCATCGCCTCCTTTGCCACCATCGCCACCCGCCTTACCCGGCCCGCCCTGCTAGCCGTCCCTGCCTGGCGCAGCCTTCCTGGGAATATACTGACACATCATTCCCTTATTTACTTAACCGACTTATATCAGGAGAGAGATATACGCGGTACATGCCATAACAATACCAGACTAACATATAGCAGAAAATGCGAATCGGGCCAGCCCATTAACCCTCCCTGCCTCTCAGCTGTACATCTGGATCGGACGGCCGAAAGGAATAAGTTGACGGCCTACATTGTATAGCAAAGGAGCATCGTCGAGAGTCGAGACATGATGGGGACAAGTGGCATCATTTGCGTTTAATAATGGCATTAGAGGTGACACAAACACAAACAGATGATTACAAACATCCAGCTGTCGCCTGCTCCCAAAAAAGAGTAATCATATGTAGAGGAAAAGCACTCGATGCCATTTACGTCCATTCTCGATTATCATCTTACGAAAAAAAGGAAGAACATATTGAATCTAGCGTCGCGCATATGACATTACCGCCTAGCAATAACTGACGGTGCCATGCCAAATTGATAAAAAGAAAATAACTGATAGAATGAGACGAGAAGAAAACACCAAATTGATAAAATGAAAATAACTGATGGAATGAGACGAGAAGAAAACACGGTGCAGTCTCCAACATCAACAACAACTACCAAAAAAAAAAAACAATCATGCGTGCAACCATGCGAGATATGACGATTAAGAAGGCCTTGATTTCTTATTGGCCTGAATCAGTTGCAATTAACAATGATAACAGATAACTGAAATTGAAACGCCCAATCACACTTCAGACTTAAAACACGTTGCAAATGCATAATGGTAGAATAAGAAACGTCATCAACCCAGAATGAATAATATCAGTTCTATGGGTCGTTCCAACTTTCAAACGATAGCATACGAACCACTTAAAAAGCTAAGGACGCATTAGACCATTGAGGCAATCCAGCACAGGGACATGCTATGTACACAGGAGGTTGACCATGACACCTGGCCATCCATGTTTATTTACAGCAGCAGCAACAGTTGATGAATTACGCAGAGCCGAATGTGTTCTCGCCACTGTAAGTCATGTAGAGGAAGCCGTCCTCATCCTTGTTCTCTTCGTAGATTGCAGACATCAAAGAAGCTGCCAATAGAATGTATGCGCAAAATATAAGGAAACCAAAAGGGTAGGTGATATGACAATGACAAATCAAGAACAATGAATTTACCAGTTGGCGGCAATGTGTTCTTCACAAAGACAAAGATGGCCTTTTCTGGGCTAAGCTTAATCCTCTTCCGAACCACATAGACAAACTGGCCAACAGTAAGATCAGCAGGGACAAGGTACCTACATCAGAAAAAAAAAACAAAGATGTGTGTATCCAAGAGAAGGTTAATATTTCAGGATTTCAATTCAATTAATAGCAGATGCCTGGGTATTCTAAGTCAATAAGCAACATAAATAAAGAGTACTAAGTACTAACCAAACAAATAGAACATAGCAAGCCAAATTCCAGAGAATACAGGACATCTAAAGCGAAATTAGGCCTGATTGAGTTAGATAGAACCCAATGTGAAAGAAAAGTTGCTCCTATTTTATCTTCCTCCAACTAAAGCAGGTGTTAAAAAGGAGAGGAAAAATGGAAGCCCTCTCATACATAAAAAAAAAGCTTTAGTAGCTGATATAAGCAACCATGAGATAGAACATCTCCCGTCATAATAAAGGAGATGTGGAAAAGAAAGCTTACTTCTTTTTGTCAATTTCTGGAACATCGGTCTTGTCAGCCTTCTCAACGATCACCTGAAATAGCATATCGCAGAATTTTTGATAAGACAGATGCATATAGGAGATATGCACAAACGAAAAAGTAAACAGCAGAGATATATTACCGGAATTCTGTCTGAGTACTTCTCACGGATCCTGGCAGATTCTGCTTGCCTCCTTTCTGCAATATCATTCAAAATACAAACATCATAAGATGCTATATGCAAATTACATGTGGTTGACATAAACATAGTCGGGAATGTTTTTTTTTTCTTTTCACAGTTGGTTCTGCTACACTAATGGAATTAGGGGTAATCTGTGCTAAGTGTAAAGCAGATAAATAGAAGAAAAAATATCATCTCAACCTCTTGTACAAGCTAGCTTTTCTTAGATTAGCAAATATGTTCAAGGCTCAATCAAATAAATACAAAGTACAGCATGTTCCAACCACCAGTAAACAGGGTACTGCTAATCAAGAGAATCATGATATATTGAAGACTGAAGTAAACAAGTTCAATACATGAAACAGTTTATTATTGAAACAACAATGCGCATTGAACACAATTCAATCATAAAACAGACTAGATCAACAAGAACAAATATGTTTGCTTAATTGGACATTTGATGTTATCTGCCACGAGTAATGGAACTACCGAAGAATAAGCATTGTGTTACGAGTAATAGAACTACCGACAAAAATCTATACAATAAGCATTGTGTTAGTCCGAATATGATGAAAAACCCTTTTGCAACTGGGAATAAAACAAGTATCCCAGAGTTTAAACTTTTGTTCTGGAAACAAGCGACCGTAAACTACAGAGTCCTCTTCTGCAACTAAAAAACAGCTCAAGACCAATATGCAACACACGCAACCAAAAGAAAAAATCAATCCTTGGGTGGGCCAAATCATACTCCAACAACAAACACAACGCCCGACAAAACAATCCCACACACAAGGCAGTCTCCACAAAAGTAGTACTCATATATAATCTACAATCAGATCATCATATACCACACAAAAACGCAAAGCTAGTTCCGATTATAAAACGCCCATCTACAAACTCGCAATCAATCTACCACCACACCATCGATCGAATCACAGATTGCAACCTAATCGCAACAAATTGACAGGGCAAAGAGGTAATGGGGCGAGAGAGAAGAAGCAACAAACCCAGTGGGTGCTCGAGCTTGAAGGAAGTCCTGGCCATCTCCAACCTGCGAATCAAATCATCAATCGATCATCAGAAACAAACCCCCAAGGTCAACGTCTCCCCTCGATCAAACCGATCCACCAAAAGAAAAAAAAAACAAATCATCCGCAGAAACGAACGCAGAGGGAAAACCTCCCGAATCCTCGCGAATTCGGCCGGCTCCGTTGGGGGATCGAGACGAGAGGCTCACCGATCGAAGGGGCGCTGCCGCGGAATCGATAGATCGAGGCGGGGGGCGAATCGATTTGGGGGGCGAGAAGTCGATCGGCGGAAGCAACCGGAAGGAAGGAAGGAAGTCGCGGTAGGGTTTGGTTTGGTTGGTGGCGTGTCGCCGCTATTTAATGGGGATTTCTTGTTGCGGATTTTGCGTTTAACCCCTTGGATATTGCTTTAATTCCATCGTTAATAAATAAAGTCTACGGCTCGGAGTAGAGTTGTTAAGCGTTTCCTTTTGGTTTACCACTTTCCTTTACTTTCACGAGGAGTTATATAATATATTTACAAAATCTGGAATATACTGTATTAGGTTTAGTGCAAATTTTGTGAACTGCCCCCTCGTTCATACTCACCGGAAAATCACATCTAGTATTACTCTACATCTATTACTCTATAGTCCATTTAAGTGATAGTACCATCATAATTTTTTCTTGAATTACATGAAAAATTGTAATAGTACTCCCTCCAACTTAAAATATAACAAATTTTAAGTGAATGTGACATTTCCTAGCACTACAGATCTGGTCCCAAAATATAACAAGTTTTGAATGTATATTTTTGAGTGGATAAGATATATCATAGTCCTATTAATCTGAGAAGTATTACGTAGCTGAATAAATCCTAAAATATAACAAATTTTGAGTGGATGAAAGACATCCTAGTACTATCTGGATAGACATATATCCAAATTATTGCACTATGATAGGATATGTCCTATCCACTTAAAATTTGATCTATTTTAGTACTAGCTACTATTTAGCTAAGTTGGACAATGGGACATACATATTAGTATCATATTAGTTTTGAAGTTTACTTATTCAGGGCTGTTTCTTTAGTTGAGAGGAAAGTTTGGATTTTGGTTGAAATTGGAGATGATGTGACTGAAAAGTTGTGTGTGTATGACAGGTTGATGTGATGGAAAAGTACTGAAGTTTGGATCCAAATTTTAAATCTAAACACAGCTAACTTGAGTTTCAAGGCAAAACCTACGATCATATTAGTTTTGAAGTTTACTTATTCAGGGCTGTTTCTTTAGATTAACTTGAGTTTCCAGGCAAAACCGAGGGTTTATATTAAAGAATCAACGTTGAACTTTCAAGATCTCCTCGTTATACGCTCCGGCCCATAATCGAAGACGTATAGGAGTATATCGTCTCTCTTATCCAAAGCATGATTGATTAATAAAAAATCAATAAAAATATAATTTCTTTTAGATAAGGGAATTGTTTGGACTTTCGGGGCCGAACTCGTTGCCGACGAGGCGACGACCACGCCACGAGGTAGTTCTAGCTGGGCCGACTTCGCTGGGCCTAGTGGGCCCAGGCCCAATTTGTTTCCTCTAAGAGAATTTTGTTTTTCCTCTTTTTGTTCCATGGAGTTTTTTTTTCCTGAGAATCTTTAGCTTCCGTATATCCTCTTACGCATGGAGCATATTCTCATCGTGGTTGTTGCAATGGAAGAAAATAAATAAATAATAAAATGTTTAATATTTTATATGGTGAGCATTATGATGCAAGCTACATGAGAAATACTCCCAAAGAAGAATGAACTGATCATAGATTCATAGTATTCCTTGGCAGTAGCTAGCAAATTAAAATAAACTCAAACTCACTATGTTATTCACATCCTATTCTTTTTAGAACCTTCTGATAATTATCATTTACCAAAGAAACTACTAGTACGTATATATAAAACAAGAAGATCTTAAATTTTTTTTAAGATAATAGAGTATAACATCCCGGCCTTTGCTCAAGAGAGCTACAATTCATTATTATAATCTAGCACTCGGGTGGTGTTTGAATCTCCTGAAGATAAAGATGAAGATACAGATTAGTGTTTCACGCAAAACGAAGTGGTAATAACGTGTGATTAATTGAGTTTTAATTATTACAAACTTGAAAAATGGATTAATCTGATATTTTAGAACAACTTTCATATAGAAAGTTTTCACACGAAATGTACCGTTTAGCAGTTTGAAAAACGTGTCATTTTAATCCAAAAGTTTATCCTCAAACTTTAGAGGAAACGAACAGGGTGTAGTTCAAATAAGAAAGCAAACATAGCGGAAAGATAAAAACGAACCAATAAAAGATAAGGAGAACACATTATTGAAGTCTATCTGTGAATCTCCACCCATAATTGGCAAAAAGCTGCATAATCGTTGACTCAAGCTTGCGGCATGCAACTTTTAGGACCTCTCCGTCTTCGTCACACCTTTGTAACTTTGCCCAACACCGGAGCCAATATGTTGCCCTGAAAATTACCTGTATATTGATGCAATTATTTTCATATGCATGGCAACTGCCTATTAAAATCTCTGTAAACCCTTTAAAAATCAAGCCATGACTAATCGCTTGGACTTGTAATTTAGTCTGATTTGGCAGCAAATATACATGTCAGAGCATCATTTGGGGAGACAAATTGACAAACCTCTAATGTTTGGATCATAACCATCCATGCACCTGCATAGTTATATATATAATTCCACATCAACTTCAACTACTACAGAGCCAAAAAATATATATATTGTCTTTTTAGATACTACGAGTACAAGAATTCTAAATATTTTCTTAGTAGTACTTGAAAATTCTCCACTGAAAGTCTGAAACACGTGGGTATCCAACGATATTACGATAACTGCTGCTTACTTAAGGCCGGTAAACTAAGCTTGGACTTGCATTACATGGGATCAAAGTACATGTCTAGCTCTAGCTTCAAGCTAGCAAAATACACACACACAAAAATAAGTGGTCATGCAGACATGCACCATATGCATATGATCCTTACAGCTTAAAATACATTACAGCGAAGTGATAGCTAGCTAGACAGCTTACACTAACCTCACCCTAATTATCAGTAGCATTAATTAATTAACTACGTACACTGCAGGCTTTGAGGTAGTAACATCAAAAGAAAGCAATATTGCAAGCAGCAACATGCTTGCATGCATTTCCAAAAAGAAATCTACCTCACTTACTTCTAATTACTCCACTACTATATATTAGATAGCTATAGCTAGTGTGCACGCACATGAATGCAAATTAGCTCGTCGTCGTCGTCGTCGTCTTCTTCTTCTACTGCTCCGATGAGAAGGCGGTCTTGGGGAGGACGGCGTCCCTGACCTTCCTCATCTCCCTCCCCTTGCTCCTCCCCCCGCCGATCTCCGGCGCCGGCGCCGCCGCGTTCATCCGCTCCATCTTCCTCGCCAGCCACTCGTGCGGCGGCAGCATCATCATCATCTCCTCCTCCTCCTCCTCGTCTTCCTCGCCACCGCCACCGCCGCGCCTTGACGACAACGACGACGACGACGAGGAGCCGGCAGCAGCCGCCGGGATGGCAACCGGCGCCGACGACCTCCCCTTGCTCCTCCTCGCAGCTGCCGCCCCGCCGCCGCCTTCCTCGTGCTGCCTGTTATTCCTGGCGCCCTTCGTCGTCCTGCCGGCGAGCGCCGCCGCCGCCGCTTCGTTGCTCTGATCGTGATGCAGCACTTCCCACACTTCTCCCTCGTCGAACTCCTCTTCTTCCTCCACTCGACGTACCACTCCCGCCATGGGCGCTAAGCTGAGCTAAAGCTTTCTCTCTAGCTATAGCTTGGTGTGAGCTAGTGTGTGATGATTTGTTGCGTGCTCAGCTAGCTGTGAGGCTGGCACTTGGCATTGGCAGCGGGGAGCATACTTGTCACAAGCCGAACAATGCAGGACGAGACAAGATTGCACTGGTGCCGCTCACCGACCAACAGACTCACAGGTGTTTTCGCTTGAGCACGCACTGCTTCAGTGAGGATACTGGATACAAGTATACTCCAGCTAGCAGCAGTGGCCGGCCTTGTTTGTGTTCAGCCACATACTATTTTTGCTTGGGAATCTACGAGGGACTGCTGCAACTTCTCTCAAGTCTCAAAACAAGAAACCCCCTTAGACAGTCTAACATTTGATTCAGATTCCGAGAAGTCGTAGAATCTAAAAAATAAACTAGAAGCTAGCCAGAATCTAGAAAACCTAACTTTCTTCTAATTAGCTGTTGCTTCTCAAAATCTTAAGCTTCCCAAACATGCGCTATATAACTATAGCTAGCGAGAATTTGTTATTGATCAGGCAGTCAGCGATATGGATGAAGAATAATCATTAAACAGTCATAGTGTACTGTATGTCTGTTTGCTAACACTAATAAAAATATGTGCTAGCTCCTTAGGTCATAATATATTGATATTCAAATCTTCAAAATTTTAACTGGATTTTATATTATGTGCTTATTACTCCCTCCGTCTCATAATAGGTGACGTTTTTGACTTTTTATTTGCAAAGTTTGACCATTCGTTTTATTTGAAAAATTAGTGTAAATATAAAAAAAATAAGTCATATGTAAAGTACTTTTGATAATAAAGCAAATGACAAATAAAATAAATAATAATTCCAAATTTTTTTTGAATAAGACGAATGATCAAACATTGATAAACAAAAACTTAAAAAGACAAGTAATATGGGACGGAGGTAGTACTTTAAATCCTTGGTAAACGCAAAATATAAAGGATTTTGGTAAAGAGTTGACGAGTTAACGCAAAAGTTTAGAAGAAAACCGTGGGCGCGAGGCTAGCCATGAACGAGAACAATATATATTTACAAACAAGAATTCAGCTATACATCGAAAGTTCCAAAAAATAATAACAAAAAAAAGCCTAAATTAGCAAGGGAAATAGTTCTAAAAGAAAGCAAGGGAAATATTTATCCATTCGAAAAACATCATATCAAATCACAAACTAGCCAGCACTCCATGTGGCGCGCAGGGCCGCACCTCTCTCACTGTAGTCAGGTCACACTGTAGCTAACTAGGGGTGGATATATAATAAGCCATCTCGGTTTGACAAGCTTGCTTGCTTAGGCCCTCTTTGTTTAGACTTATAAGCCAACTTATAAGTCAAAAAGTCTAAACCAAAACAAACAAGCAGCTTTTTTATTTGGCTTTTTTAAGCCATAAGCCACTCTAACACTATTAAGGCCTTCTTTGTTTAGGCTTATAAGCCAACTTCTAAGTCGAAAAGTCTAAGCCTAAACAAACAAGCAGCTTTTCCGTTTGGCTTTTTTGAAGCCATAAGCCACTCTAACACTATTAAGCCAAAAGCTAGGTTGAAGAAGCTTTTTTGGCTTATGTGAGGTAGATGTATGACTCAACTACTAAACTTAGGACATTAAATCCACCGGCTTATAAATCATTTAAGCCAATAAGCTGACTTAAAAGTCTAGCCCAATAAGCCTAAGCCTAAACAAAGAGGGCCTAAGCCAAAAACTAGGTTGGAGAAGCTTTTTTAGCTTATATGAGATAGATGTATGACTCCACCACTAAACTTAGGACATTAAATTCACTGGCTTATAAATCATATAAGCCAATAAGCTGACTTAAAAGTCTAGGCCAATAAGCCTAAGCCTAAACAAAGAGGGCCTTAAGCTATCATTAAGCTTATTAGCTAGCGCTGTTTACGAGCTCTAGTTTATTCGGTGGCAGATCTAGAAATTTTTACAAGCCTGGGCAAACCTAATAATAGAGAACTACAATTAAATCCATACAACCACGTGCATGATTTAGTATAGATCGAGTTCTAATTTATAAAGAAGACAACCAATGCACGAAATTATATTGATGAAATAAAACTCGTTAATTGTTAATGTTGAATACTAGACATTATAATTAATTATATGTATATAGCTAGTCATTTTGCTAGTATATGTGCTGATCCACTGATCTCATCCATTAGAACTAGTTGATTAAGCATGTAATTTGCTACTAGTAGTATTTTACTCAATTGTATGTGGCTGAACACCTGAACTTGTATCTAAGCATGGTAATTAACATAAACTAATAACTACTCACTACTATAAAATATCAAATAGGTGTCGGTACTATAGATGCCGGAAGTGCTAAAACCGGTACCTATAGGTCTTTTACCACCTCAGCGGTCCGAAAACACAAAAAACCGGCACTTTTAAGTAATTATAGGTGTCGGTTCTATAAAGAAAACCAACACCTTTAATTAAAGAACCGACACCTATAATAATTAAATGTGCCGGTTTTTTTTAAAAAAACGACACCTTTGGAATTGAGCCGAGCCGGACCGGATGAGATATTTCTTCTCCCGGCGGGGCTCACACCCGGTGGAGATAAGGTCGATTTTTCTCGACTTCTCGTCTCTCGCTCTCGAGGCGCCCTCCCCTGCGCTAGATCCGACAGGGCCGGGAGGGGAGGCGCGGTGGCGGCTGACGGCATGAAGGGGAGGCGATGGTGGCCCGGCAGGGGCAGGAGGGGCGGAGACGCCCTCCCCTCCGCCAGATCCAGCAGGGGCGGGAGGGGAGGCGCAGTGGCGGTGGACGACATGGAGGGGTGGCGGTGGCGGCCCAATGGTGGAGGGGAGGCGGTGGTGGCCCGGCGACGGTGGATCCTCGGGGCAACGGCGGCGGTGGCGCCCTCCCCTCTACCAGATCTAGCGGGAGGTGAGGCAGCGGCGGCGAAGGCGGTGACGTCGACGTCGGGGGGCTTTGGATCCAGCGGCCTCTTCGGATCTGAACACCTAGTGAGCTGATGATTGTCTGAACATTTGATTCAATGATGTGAAAATTTGATGAACATTTGATCAACTTGTTGTTCATTGTCTAATGTGAAAATTTGATGAACATTTGATCATGAGCTTATTGTTGATTGTCTGATTGTGGATTGTTTTATCTTCTTTTTTATTTATTTATGGTGCTTTGAAGCATCGGCTCAGCTCAAATTGAGCCGAGCCGGAGTTTTTTTTGCAAATCATATACCTCAAAGGTGCCGGTTTGTCTAATCAGTGCCGCCAACGTGGTGCCGGTTGGGAAAACCGGCACCTAAGGGGGTTTCCCAACCAGCACCAAAGGCCCTTTATGTGGTAGTGACTGCACAGTACGGCTACATCCGGTGGAGCTTGGGCACCTGCCGAGGCTAGCTGGGCCCTGGCTCCGCCGCTGAGATTATTCATATCACCTCAACAGTTTTAACTTCAACTTATTATGTGTAAATAAAATAATAAACACTAGCTAGCAAAGTACTAACTAAATACAAATAGATTGGAAATATAACAAAACAACAAGCATAAATTGATAGTGTGGCCTTATATACTAAGTATACACTAATCAAGCTCACCCACATGTTGGGTCGAGCTAGCTAGCGAGCTAAAATTAAGCTAAACTTGACCGGATTTATTATGACTATGAGCCCCTTTAAATCGTAGAAATAAAAAAAGGGGAAAAACACGTGATTCTGATAGGAATATAAGTACATAAAGCACAGAATTACAAAACACAGAAAAACACATGAATAATCATTTAGTTAGACCGCAAGAAAAATAAATACAGTAATCGGATGAGAGAGTTAGGTAGACTCAAAGGAATTTCTTCAAGAGGTTGGACCTCTTGCTGAATTTCCTCCAAAACCTACATGCAATGACCCATTCCATAGAAATTTTATAGAATTTGGAAAACTCCAATCCTTCGAATTAAAGGGCCAAATAGAAAATTTTCTATAGGATTTCAATCCTATGAAATTCCTGCATAATCCTTTGATTCAAAGGGGTCTTGTATTTTAGGCTGACTTTGAAACTATTGATATATATACCACTTGTGTTATAGTGCATAGCTTGGTCCACATAGTATGTTTAAGCTGATCTGTAACATCCCGGCCTAGGGCTTAATAGGATTAATAGAATACTCATATCAACAAGTTGCAACTTCTTTTCCGGAAGCCAATCTCCAAAGAACTCCAGGGTTAAGCGTGCTAGGCCTGGAGCAATTTGGGATTCGAATTTTCCGGGTGCACACGAGTGAGGACAAAGTGTGCAGAAAAGACATGTGTTGGTCTGTGAGGGCAGTCTATGACCTATAAAAGCTATCAGATATAAGTGGGCCCGGCCTGGGGGAAGGCGGGACGTTACATGATCTCCATACGGGCCCGGCCTGGGGGAAGGCGGGACGTTACATGATCTCCATACTAGTTGATATACCACTTGTTATAAGCTAGTTGTACCACCTGTTATAATGTGTAGCCTGGCCCATAGAGTATGTTTGAGCTGACCTCGAAACGTACCGTGCTTGTTATAGAGTGTAACCCGCCCCACTAATTATGGGCCACCCAAGTGTAAAGACCAACTTGACTCGATTTATTTTGACTATGAGCTCAAGTATGTTTAAGCTGATCTCGAAATTAAACAAGTTGATATACCACTTGTTATAGTGCGCCGGACCCACTAACCATGGATCACCCAAGTTACATTGGGTCTGTTCCACCATGGATTCAATCAGAGTCATAACTTTAGATCGTGGACTTACACAATCCAAAAGACAGTCTCATGGATAAGAACTACTCATGTTTGAAGTTGTGTTTTTTCATCATCAATTATCGATATGAGATTTAACCCAACATCTCGACACAAACACGTCAACATATATACTCCATATATATGTATATGTAGAGACATATATCTATAACTAATATAAATATTCGTATTTTTCCGGTCATCACATATAATTTCGTCCGATTTTTCGTCCATACACAATCCGATTAGGTTAGAGATAGCGATGGAA